ATCTCTACTGGTCAATTTGATGATCGTCCTAGATATCAGTGTCACGTGCTCCAATGGTGTTTCTTATTGGTCATCCTGAATTTTAATGTCACTTCAAACGTTGTTTCTTATTGGTCGTCTTAATTGCCTATGTCACAGACTTCGATGCTGTTTCCTATTCGACCAAATTGTATAAATACGCATTATCTGTAACGTTCTATGAGCCGGACTCGACCCGGATCCCAATTCAGGATCCTGATTCTCTTCTGAACTCGGACCTCGTACTTTCTGAATGATTGTAGAATACAGGTTCTACTTCACATCAAGCTTTCTTCCTTTATTTAATGGGGGTTGGGATAATCGGATTGAGTAGCATGTCGTGTCGCCGGATCCTCGCTCTCGTTTTTCGACTAGATAAACTCGTAATAGTTCAAGCATATCAAAATGACGTATTCATGTGTGGGCGTAACATAAATCGAAATATCATTTGGATTAGTTTACATGTAATCCATTTTAATCTCTTAATCAATCCTCATAAGATTTTCATTTTGAAGTAGTTAGGATTACAGTGGGAGAACAAGATAACTGCTTATATCCGGTATTGAATCGTCATTAGAATAAATCCCGCAAACGTAACATTGTTATTAGACTGGGATTTATTTATGAGGAACTTGAGCCTAACCGACAACCAGATATCTGTTGCACGTTAAATGTCATTGGTTGAAAAAGACATGAGGATATATTTCACTCAAATTGAGGTTGAATATCCACTGAGCGAAGTGCAGAATTCAGTTAAGATTTATCATGTTTTGTTTTAAATTTAAACTCCATAGTCAGTCATTATCATAAAACAACATAGCTGAGGGACCAGCAAATTATTTTTATGGTTATCGTTTTTTTATCGAGTTGGATTTCTACGGGATTACGTCCCTAATCCCATGCCTCCTAACCCGCCTCCTTAGGATCTTCACTAATCCCTAGAAGTGCTCCAGTTGGAGTTTAGTAGAGAAGCTGGAACTGATATAAGATAAACCAGCCGATCATCAATCATCATTTGAAATAAATTCGTGATTTCTTTTTTGATTTGCTTTTCTAAAATATTATTTTCGTACTCGGTTATTAATGACTGCTAGTGGAAGATTTGAGAAAAGCGAGTTGAATATAGTGATAACTACACATGATACGAACAAACATCACACAGTAAAATGGAGACAAACATGTGAACAACAATTGGACAGAATTGGAAATGAAGGCTCAGGACAGGGTGGGTTGGAGAATGCCGGTAGGCGGCCTATGATCCGATTAGAGCCAACAGGTGTAATTTGAAATGAAATATTATCGGTGAACACAGAGAAACAGGAATACACTGGGTTTCAGGGAGATTTGGTAAACGGAAGATAACAGCCATAGTAGGATCACAAATGGGATAGATACTTCTCACTGATGCGTTTTGTAGAAGCTTCTAGGTGATGAGTCTATTTTCCATTGACTACTAACTCGTGTTTATAATACGCTGACTTACTGATATCACTTTTTCTAACGCGACAGTGTTATATTTTTAATTCTTCTTAGATAGAACATCTATTTCATGGGTTGTGGATGCGCATATACTAGGACAAAACGGCCATCTTTTAGTGCTTCCAGGTTTCTAATGCTGGTGGTCTAATATTGATCGATTTATGATTTCAATGAAACCCAACAATCTGCACAACTGGAAATATGTTTATTCATCAATATTACCTAACTCAGAAGATTATCCACAACAGAACTCTTCAAAAAATGAACAATATCTCCGTTTGCAGCAGAAAAGTTTATTTTCTCTATCTATATAATAAAAGAGGCCTTTATTTATGAAGCTACAATTAAACGGAGATGTGGCCTGCGATACTCTGTAGGACAGATTAATAAGAGTAATTAATAGAACATTCAACGCTGCCAAACTTGCATTGACATTCTCCAGTCGACCAGCGATGTCTACCCAAACGAAGGATAAGTTACCTGAGTTGGCCTCCTCTATGTACATTTACAAATTCAGTTGCTCCTGTGGAGACAACTATATCGGGCGTACTTCCAGGCAATCTACCCAATGAATAAGTGAACATCTCCCAGCATTGTTTAAGAAGGTTCAGTCAAAAACAATACACAGTCCTATCTTAGCACACCTGGTTGATAGTGGTCACATTTTAGATAAATCTAGATCTTTTCGGGTGATCTATCGTATACCTCCATCATTTCCCAACGGAGTTAGATCCCGTCTCCTACACATTGCAGAAGCCATAGGAATATGTACATTCAACCCAAATCTATGTGTTCAGAAGAAATTCGTGACACCCTTATCTCTTCCGCGGCCGGACACGACGTAACTAACGATTGACATTATATTTTTTATTTTATTTTTATTTTTACACATTTGCTTATTACGTTATGGTTTTGATAATTTTCGATGATTATTTGAAGTCTATTCATCCACCTTTGACCTACTTTAGTTATCATATTTTATAAATTTTCCTACTACTATCTGTTCACCTATCTTCCTACTATCCACTTGTACTTTTGCCTTTTTCATTTCATTGCGATTATCACTCAAATTACCTTGATGATTAGCCAGATCATCTGCGAAGTCCAAATCGTCCAGCTGCGTCCTAACTGTCCACTGAATACCGTGCTTCCCTCCAGATGTCGACGTCTCTATAATCCAGTCGATCACCAGGAGAAAGAGAAAGGGTGAGAGTAAGCAACCTTGCCTCACACCGGTCTTCACCTCGAAGGAGTCTGTCAGCTGACCTCCGTGCACGATTTTGCAGTTGAATCCATCATAAGAATTCCGTATGATGTTCACTATTTTCTCAGGCACACCGTAGTGTCGAAGAAGCCTCCACAGTGTTTTCCTATCCACGCTATCGAATGCTTTCTCGTAGTCGATGAAGTTGATGTAGAGTGGTGAGTTCCATTCAATTGATTGTTCCACAATGATCCGTAATGTAGCAATTTGGTCAGTACACGATCGATCCTTCCGAAATCCGGCCTCTTGATCTCGAAGTTGGGCGTCTACGAAGTCCTTCATTCTGTTTAACAATACCCTGTTGAAGACTTTGCCTGGTATTGAAAGAAGAGTGATGCCTCTGTAGTTCTCACACTTGCTGAGATCGCCTTTCTTTGGTATTTTGATGAGGTATCCTTCTTTCCAATCTGATGGTACTTGTTCCTCATCCCAAATCTTCTTGAAGAGAATGTGAAATATTTTCGCAGTTGCTTCCACATCTGCTTTCATTGCCTCTGCTGGAATGCTGTCTGGTCCTGCTGCTTTGCCGTTCTTGATTTGTCTGATGGCCATACTGATCTCCTCAATCGTAGGTGCGCCAATATTAATTGGGAGGTCCTTGGATGCTGCTTCGATGTTGGGTGTGTTCAGTGGAGCTGGTCGATTCAATAGTTCCTTAAAGTGCTCTACCCACCTATTTCGCTGTTCGTCAGTGTTGCTGATTATTTTCCCTTCCTTGCTTTTCACTGGTCGTTCTGGTTTACGATAGTTTCCGGCGAGCTTCTTCTTCATTGTTTCGTACAATTGTCTCATGTTTCCTTCTCTTGCAGCCTTTTCCGCCGTCATTGCTAGATCTTCCACATGTTTTCGTTTGTCAGCTCTGATGCTCTTCTTCACTTCCCTGTTTGCTTCTGTATACTCGGCTTGCGCCTTAACTTTCTCTGCTCTTGTTCGGCTGACATTCACTGCTGCCTTCTTGTTCCTCCTTTCTTCAACTTTTCCAAGAGTATCAACAGAGATCCATTCCTTGTGATGCTGCTTCTTGCGACCAAGGACCTCCTGACATGTTGAAGCGATTGCCTCCTTAATCCCTTTCCAATTGTTCTCCAATGTTGTGTCCTCTCCATTGTGTAGATCCTGAAAGGCCTGGAACCTATTGGTGAGGGCTATCTTGAATTCGTTGAGTTTTACGGTATCCTAAAGAGAGGCTGTATTAAACTTCTGTGATGCTGTCTGCCCCGTTGTCCAGTGCTTCTTTAGCTTCAATCTCATTGTGGCGATCAGCAAGTGGTGATCTGAGGCTATATCAGCTCCTCTCTTGGTTCTCACATCCTCCATGGTCCTTCTGAACGTTTTGTTGATACAGATATGATCAATCTGGTTTTGAGTAGTGTGATCCGGTGAAATCCATGTGGCTTTGTGTATGCGTTTGTGTGGGAATATTGTGCCACCAATGACCAGTTTGTTGAAGGCACATAGGTTTGCAAATCTCTCACCGTTTTCGTTTCTTTCTCCCAGTCCATGTCGTCCCATGATGGCTTCATATTCAGTGTTGTCCATTCCAACCTTGGCATTCAGGTCTCCCATAAGAATCGTCAAATCCTTTGGTGAACATTTATCGACGATTGACTGCAGCCTTTCGTAGAATTGATCTTTAACGTCGTCATTGTAGTCATTGGTAGGTGCATAACATTGGATGACGTTCATTGTAATGTCCTCTTTCTTTGTTTTAAAGGATGCTTTAATGATCCTGAGCCCATGAGATTCCCATCCTATTAGTGCCTTTTGTGCATGTTTGGACAGCATCAGTGCAACTCCTTGTGTATGTGAAGCATTTTCCTCTTCATGACCAGAGTATAACAGCAGTTCCCCTGAAGCTAGTCTCAGTTGTCCTACTTGTGTCCAACGTGTTTCACTGATTCCAAGCACCTCGAGGTTGTATCTTTTCATTTCTGCCGCAACTTGAAATATTCTTCCAGTCTCCCACAATGTACGAACGTTCCATGTACCTAAAAAAATGGTTGCTCTGGTTGTCAGAAGAGGCATCGGCCCCGTGACTTCCGAGGGAACTCGGCTTTCATCACGCGACGTCATAATTGTTCTTCCAACTCCCAGGGCAGAGTGTCTTCTAGAAATCCTTATTACCTATGACAACAATATGGCAATATATATATATTTACAAAACTTCATAATTAGTAAGTAGTAATATAAACTATTGAATAAAAACAAGACCTAATATCATAAATGAAGTGAAATTCATTTAAACATCATAACGTTTAGTTCGTGTTAATTTATCCCAAAATGTTTCAAGATTACGTGTAGGAAAACGACGATTGAATTGTTCAGCATAACGATCATAGAAAATCTTATCTTCCATTTGCATTTCACGTGCCTAAATTATAGAAAAATATATATAGAAATTTTGAGGCGGGGGGTAGTAAAGAAAAGAAGTTCAGATTTCTGTTATATTCCGGGGAAAAATGATTTAAGTAAAATAGTCAGTCAGTTAGTCAGTCAACTACAACGTAGAACTTCGTACGTACCTAAGCCAGTTCAGATTGCCATACCAATTTAGCACAGAGAGGCAATTGTCAATTCAAATACCATAGTGGAGTAGAGGTAGTAGGAATATTAGCATTAATCGGAAAGATTAAGGTTTGAAGATATGATTCAAGAAATATAATTCAATGAGATAACTTTAGAAACAGAAAGAGAGGTGATGAGGAATTCAAAAGATTAGGATTTGTGAGAAGCCAAAAATTAAATGCACCTGCGCCAGTGTAAACGATTTTGAGCTATGTCATTCAAGGTCTCTAACTATCGATTATTATCATCACGAGGGCCCCAACCAGATAGTCGACATCTACCGATATGATTCAGACCACTTGTCAGTGACTTAATGGATTTCTGCCATGTTTTGGTTTGGCCGCCTCTAGCTTTCGTCCAACTTATTCCTACATTGCAAAATATAGCTCGACAAGGCAGTCGGTGTTTGGGCATATGTAACACATGTCCCAACCACCTCAACTGATGAAGTTCCAATACTTCATCTATTGAGCTGCCATCCTTACCTAGCACCCGTTTCCTAACAACAGCATTGCTTCCTCGGTTGTCTCACGATACTCGAGCAATGCAGGTTCATAAATGAAAGTACACACAATGAGCAGTACAAAGAAATAGAGAGTAAGAATGACGAATTCGATCAAAAAATATAAGAAAATGTACAGACTTTTAGTTTATTCTAATATTTTTCTCTTTCACTAGTTGGCTTATAGTTCCAGGGAAACACTAGACAGATTCATTCAACAACTTCAACCATCCATATTTAGGCACCAAAAATAACACAGCTTTGTATAGTCTTAAACACAGAAGTGTTTCCATTGATGAACAATGCACGAGTTAGCAGTTTAATACCAGAAGCATTAAGCATGTACTTATTAATTTATTCCTGTTACCCCTAGTGGAGCACAGGCTGCTGACCAGCATTCTCTAACCTACTTTGTTCTAGGCCTTTTTTCTAGTTCTATATAATTGGTGTCCATCCTTCCCATCTCTGTCTTCAATACTCGGCTGAATGTGTTATTTAGTGTTCATCTTTTCTCTTGGCCTTCCCGATTCCAAGTGAGGGCTTGTCTTTTGACATAGTTGGGTGCTCTCCTAAACGTGTGTCCTACCCACGTCCATCGCTTTTTCCTGATTTCTTCGTCTTCTGGAATCTGATTTGTCCTCTTCCACAGTAGGTTGTTGCTAATGTTTTCTGGTCAACGGATACTCAGTATCTTGCGTAGACAACTGTTAATAAATACTTATATCTTCCGGATGATGGCCGTCATAATTCGTCAAGTTTCCGCCCCATACAGTAGAATTGTCTTGACATTTGTATTAAAAATCCTGGTTGATATTTGTTTTGAGTTCCAGACATTTTTCAGTAGAAGAACGTATGTACTAATGTTAATTATTTTTCCGGTTAAAAACACTCCATGAAAACTATTCTTAAATGCGTAATTTCATTTAAAAAACATTTAAAACATATTTTCCGACTCAATATTTCCAAAAAAAACTGAAAGAAAAATAATAAGGCAAGAGCTTACTTTTTCATCAGCTAAAGTAGCAGCTTCAACTTCTTCATTGAAATAGGGTTTTTGAAGATACATATGATTTTGACGTGATATAAGAAGTTCATCCAAAAATGCTTCTTTACGACGATTAGTTAAACGAGGAATTCTACGTTGTTTACCAGCCCAAACGCTACCAGGAATTGATTTCCACGGTATGAAACGTCCGTAACAAACACGTGATAGAAGCATTTACGGAACTAAAATAAAATATCAATACAATTATAAAAACAACTAGTGAGGTGACTTCACATATGATATGAAGTAAGCAGTTTGTCAAACGAAACACTTGTGAAACGAGAACAGGTAGATAAGAAACTAATTTCATTTACAACATGGAATAGAAAGATTATTTGAAACAATAAAATCTTAACTGAAATTAGTGAAAATCGAAACACAACCAGATAATTAACTGTTGATCGACAGTCAGTCAGTCAGATGCAACGTTGAACTTCGTACGTAAGTACATCAGTTCATGTTGCCATACAACATCAGAACAGAGATGTAATTCTCAATTCAAATCCAATAGTAGAAGAGATAGTAAAGGTATTAGAAGTAATCAGAGAGGTTAGGATTAGAAGATATGATTCAAGAAGTAGGATTCAGTGAGAAAAGTTTAGAAAGTCAAAACTAGAGGTGTTGAAGAACCAAGAAGATTAGGATTTGAGAGAACACAAAGAATAAATGCACCGGTCCCATTGCGAACGATTTTCAGCTATGTCATTCAGGGTATCTAACCATCGATTATTATCATCTCGCGGACCCCAACCAGGTAGTCGACTATTACCGACATGTCTAAGTCCACTCGTCAATGACTTCATGGATTTCTGCCATGTTTTGGTTTGGCCGCCCCTAGCTTTCTTCCAACTTACTCCTACACTACAAAACAAAGCTAGACGAGGCAGTCGGTGGTTAGGCATACGCAACACATGTCCCAACCACCTCAACTGATGAAGTTAAGAAGAAACAATTTCTAATAAATAATGTTATTTCTCATATCTCTTATAATTCTGGTTTCAAAATGAGAAATTTACCGTGACATCTTTTTTTCTCTTTTTAAATTTGCCTAACTAGATTATGCCCCCTCGAATCACATCTATGAATCTGAATCTTCTCCATTATAGCTAATACTTTTACTAACTCAACTATTATGGGATTTGAATTGATAATTTGATCTCTCTGTGTTAAAGTGGTATGTCAACCTGAATTGATGTACGTACGTAAGAAGTTCCAAGTTGTAATTGACTACCTGACAAGCTCAAAACTGTTCGGAAATATGAACTATTTTATGTCTGAAAGTTTCATCTCGTAGTCAATCCACATAAATTGCTAGGTGAAGCTTTTTGCCTTCAAAACATGAATTAATAAGATGAAGTCTTGATGTCACAAAAAATTGGTTTGGTTACTGAACACTGGAAATCAGTCTTGAAAAATGTTCGCAGTTCCAACATAACTAGTGGCAGGAATTTCGCTCAGTGAATCGGGTTTGAATAAGATTAGAACAGCTTCTAACTGATAGGGGGGAATGCTCGACAAACCCATAGTTCTGAGAATGAAATACCGTACAGTAAATTCTGCTGGTTTCAAGAAATCTGGATAAATTTTTTACAATACCAGATTATTATTATGACAGGTGCACCAAAAAATGGTCACCCACTTCTGAGTGAATCCCGATGTTACTCACTGAGACGTAATATCAATAATCAATACTAAAATCCTTGTAAGTTTGACTGTGTAGGGAAAATTATACAAGCCATAGGAACATTGTAAGCGAACTAATAGATCAGCACGAATGATAATAAAGCGTTTATTTGAATGTGAGGATTTTTCGACAGATTAATCTGCAGAGAGGTTGATTTTTTGACTGTTGGTAGGCGAGAGGCTATTCAACATTTTTGTGTATATCATGTAAATTATATGATACAAGCAAGTAGTGTTTATTATTTTTGTCAGTTTTCATACTAGTATGGGACGAAGACGGAACATGACAAACCAAATATCTCATGAAAACGGAATGTGTCGCTGTCATTTGTAACAAACCTGCTTATTGGTTTCTCACATATGCCACATTCAGATTAACTAAGTGTAGGTAATGAGGGCTTGTATGATTTCATATTCACTTAATAATCAGGATGCTTTTCTTATTAACTCCCTTTCAGATTTCTGTAAATGGCAGTGAAGCTTTACACTTAAAATGAAAATATGGCTGGCAATTGTTTGTCAATAATTTCCCTGTAAAATATAATGTTATGAGTTACCAATAAATGTCTTAAACTTTATACTGTTTTTAATCCAGGAGCATATAAACGTTTATCTTATGAAAATGAAGACAAATATAGATATTTGAGGATAAGTGAAAGTAAATGGTTCCGCATGTATTTAAGCGAAAAGTAGTCTATATCGCAGCAATTCTGAAACAAAGTGATAAAAAGGAGAAATAAAGCACTATTTCCCTTAGATAGACGAAAAAGTGACTCCCAGTGGTTTTTTGCTTTAATTCTCAAGGGATGTCCCCTTTATTTACTCCGTAATAACTGTTATTTTCTCTTTTGTTTGCCTGAGTTGAGGCATACATTTACTTACCTCAGATTAACAACAGGAAGAACAGTATGAAATAATTTATAACGCAATATATCCCAGTATCTACTTCCAGCTTGGTCAAGACCACTCACATAATATGTAGCGTAACAACCAAATTATTTCCAATCCAATATCCAATATCTTTTACACGAGCTAGTGTAAACCAATTTGATTTCTTCGCGCTCGATTCTTGTTCTTTCGGTACGGTTCCAGGTGTTCGGTTATGTCCAATGGATGGAGGTCTAGCCACTCAACTGTCTAATTCTAGTCAGTTGGCAGTTGGTTGTGAGTTTGTATGTCGCGGGATTTGAATGAAAACGTTTGTTTCAGGGCAGCAGGGTTTCTGGAAACTAGCAGCCGTCACATTACCAGACCAGAGATCAGTTAGTTGAAATGTGAGGAATAATAAGGATAATTAGTGTAAAATTCCAATACCAATATGAATAAGATTTCAGAACTTAGTAAATCAATAGATCATTTAGTTTATTGATTGCTAGTGGAGATTGTGTGGAAGGAACGAAGTGTAAGCAAGGGAAAGGAAACAGAGATAATAGGCTAGATGGGCTAATTGAGTGATTTGAGGAGATGGCAATGATAACAACTAGCAGGTCTCAAGATATGCATCATGCACAGCTTGCCCATGAGGGAGATGATAATCCATACGTGAGTGAGTATTCATTAAGTCTCTTTTTAAAGCTGTCCACTGAGGTGGATGTGGTCTCCCTGGTTGGGAGAGCATTCCATGCTGCAATGACCCTTAACGAGAAAAAGTGTGCACGAATCTAAGTATTTGCTCTTTGATGCGCAATTTTTCGAAGATTGCCTCGAGGGGAGTGGTGGTGATACATCGATAGGATGCTAACGTTGGGATGGTTCGGTTTGCTTAATATGTTGCACGCCATAATCAGATCACCTCTAATTCTTCTGTAACTCAATGGGAATAATCCCGAATGCTGGGGTCTATCTTGGTAATGTTTGTACTTCAAACCCATGACCCAATTCGTTGCTCGTCTCTGCACGCAATCCAAGCGACTTATGTCTCTTTTACGTAGAGGGGTCACGGTGACGTTGTGAACCTCAAGATGTGGGCGCGCATATATCTTAAATGACGCTGAGAATAATTTTGGGGTGAGAGCATGAAGTTGTTTTCGGATAAAGTGAAGAGTCGCATTTACCTTGGCTGCATTCACTATATAGTTCAGACTGGTGTGGAGGCCATCAGTGTTTAATAAACTGAGATCGCGTTCTGAGGAGACATTAGGTAGTGGACTTCCGTTGAAGGTGTAAATCGTTCACGTCATGCTAAGCAAACTTTACTTGATGTGACGTTTGGGCTGGTTTAGTTTTAAACCTTTTATCACCGACCATTCTTCACAGCTCACTTATAAGCTCAGTCGAATCATCTTCGATTCTAATGGACCTCCAGATCTTTGCATCGTCTGCGTAGACCAATGCCGCCGAGCTAACTTTGTCTAACAGGTCGTTAATAAATATTGAGATGAGAAGTTGACCTAAATTAGTTCCCTATGATGCTCCCAATGTGGATACTGGCCAACCCGTGTACACTCTATATACCTTGGCATGAAAATTTCTATTCTCAAGGAAGTTTCTGATCCAAGATAGGAGTGCATAGTAAAGCCCATTTCCTTAACCCTTGCGATTAGGCTTGCGTTGGGTACTGTGTCGAAGGCTTTTTCAGAACTTCTTTGGAGTATCCTCATATATTCTGTTTTGAAAAGCAGGAAAAATGAGGGAATGTCAGACAAAAATTTATCAGTAAGTAACATAATTACTGTGATTAAGTAACTTCTCGTCCTTCTATAAGATGAAGTAAATAGGTCTAATTGAACCTGTCTTTCTTTATTAGGCAGCTTTGCAATTCTTTACCCTTTTTTTCACAAACTGAGCCAGTCACGTTTCTGTGATGACATATACATTCGACTTAGTTTGATCTATCTTTACATCTGGCTCTGATCGCTTGTTGAGTAAGCTCTGGGAATTCGTGAAGCAGACCAGAAAACCAGCTAACTGACTTCTTATTGAACTAGAAGTGGCTTTGGACTCATTTTCTGCCGAAACCCGACCACCTGAATATTTACAATTCTAATTTCCTATTCACCAGCATCTAATCTCAATTTTATTTCATTTTTGGCCACTTTGAGCTCACCACAATTCATACTACTTTTAGTATGGTACCGAAAGCCCACGAGTTGTTATATACACTTTTATAGTATCGAGTCATCGATAGGAGGTGCTCAATTGAAACAGTCATGTACCGACAAAAAAATTAAGACCAGAAAGAAGGTGTATCATGGACCGCTAAGTTCAGACGTGCAGAAAACAAGAAGCAGTACCAATAAACCCTCACAAACTCATGCAAAATTATTCTTGCTGTTATTTGTTTGCCTTTTGACCATGTTTTTGTTTAACTTTCACTCACGACACTGATAACCATGTTTTGTCTTTCTCAGCCGTATATACTTGCCTACCGAAAATTTTATCTTTTATTACCTAAAAGCCGTACCAATCACAAGAAAAGGCCATATAGATGAACGAAATTTGATGGAATCAAATAAACCATGGTTTTTCGGCTGTACTTTCAAAACAAATACTATTAGTGCGGTTGTTACATACATCGTCTATGTCTTTTTTCTCGATGACAGGTTTAAAAGTTTTTAGACGTTTTTTGCTTCAACTATCCTTGATTAATGCTACTGTTTGAGTACATTGTCATAGTTATCTTCGTACCTTGATCGTTTTGGAATTTTTCTGTTAGTTACCCGAACTTATCTAGCCTTGCCCCCATTATACTGCTAGTAATTATAACCTTAAGTCATCTATAAGATCGACCATTGTGCCTCTTTCCCGTCAGATATCGCATACAATGTGACATCAATGAGAGATAGGCCGGCAAAATGTGTACCACTCTGTAGCAGGTGGCGTATAAAGGTTTTTGCAAACTGACTTCACCATATCATGCGGAAAATGCTGTCATTAATCAAGCAACAGTCAGTCCTAATATAAGTACTGATATTAATGGGGACAAGGCTTTAGGCAGGATAACTTAAGATATGACATATTTCTGCGGTAGTCACTAATCCGTGTCTACGTTTAATTGTACAATAAGCAACTTCGCTTATACCACTGTCGTGGACCTCTAACGCGCTCCGTTATGTAAAGAAGTGATCTCAGGTATATGGTTTTACGCCTCCTCCATGAAGATTTATGACTCTATCACCTTCTACACAAATGGAGAGCAGTCTAGATATAAGACGAGCCACGTTTAAGTCTCACCACTTTGCAAGCTAGTTTTAAACTCAGTAAGGGCATTCTTTTACTTAATTTTATCTTTGAATATTTGAATTACGTGTTCCGTGTGATTTATTTACTAACACATCCCTTCCCTCATTACTCCGAGTACTAGCTCAAAGATTCTATTTCGTTGTCTTTCGCCTTAAACCTACTGACCGAATGCTGTTTCTCTCCATGGATATATTTTAGGTGACAGACTCCACTAACACCAGATCATGTGTCAGGCGTTTGGCAGGCTCCTTCTAGATTGACTCCCTCAGCTTCCACATGGTTAAACTAGGAACCGAATTAACTTCGTTTAAAGTCGTGTTAGTGACTTCCAATTGGGTGACGGTTATTTCTCACCAACTAATAAGCGTTGCGCTTTAGTTTTCTTTTTCTTTTTGACTTACAGACGGATAAATTCATTTAAGTCATTCCATCTTTCTTGAGAGACATTCGCTCTCTGCATATCACACAGTAGCAGTCTCATTTACATTCCTAAGAGTAATTACACATTGTATAGCTGGTAGTTTCTCTGTCCTGAAGGCGCGGGACTTACTACGGTCAAATGTGATAGCGGTCTGAAAAGAAGTTGATTCTGCTTACAATTATTGTTTGATTCCTCTAGTCAAGAACAAGAGCTGAGCAAACGGCACTAGCTATCACACTTCTTGCCTCATCCTAGTCTGATGTCAGACCGACAGATTGGATATCGTCATCCGTCAACTTCTTCATCGGAGTGTTAAGCCTCAAGGCCACACCCTAGTATAGTCAACATCACACAGAATTTTTGTGATGGAATAAACTGGAAGACTGTGAGTGATGGACAACTTACATACTCGTTCGAAGTGAAGACTGGTATGAGGCAAGTTTACTTACTCTCACTCTTTCTTTTTCTTGCTGGTCAACTGAATTATGAAGACGTGAACAAGTGTGGCTAACCAGGACTGCAGCTGGGATGCAGCTGTACCGTTCGGATTACGCACGTAATCTAGCCGTTTTATCTTGCGTACAGCAACGAATGTAGGAAATGAAGACCGCTGTAGCAGCAGCCCCAGCAGCAGCTGATTTCAACATACGTAAGTGAAAAGTCAAAATCTTCAAATACAACACAACATAGGCACTGTAAGTTGCTGAAACCTGTACATACCTGGGCAGCGCCATTGATAAACAAAAGGGAGCTGATGTAGCCATGATGACATGGATTAGATAATCAAGGACAGTACTTCTACACATTTGGAGGGCGAAACAACTATCAAGCGATTCTAAGGTCAAAAGTTTCCAAATGAACGCCAGAATGGTTCGAATCCATAGATTGGAAACTTAGAGAACTACGAAAGCCACCATCTGGAAAATGCAAATACTAATTAACAGTTGTCTTCGCAAGATACTGCAGATCCTTCGGCCAGTCTCCCTCAGCAGCTACCTACCTTCGGACAGAACAAACTAGATTCCTCCGGCTGAGGAGAAAATTAGGTGAAAGTGCTGGAGGTGGTCAGGATACACCAAGGATTTGACAGGGATTGACCATATGAAGTGAGCTGCTGGCGCTTCTTGTAATATTGGAAATATAAATGCACTCATGAAGGAAACGTGTGATTTATAATCGGTGGTTTATGATAAACGTTCTGCAAGCACTATGTGACCTCCTTATGTATAAATACATGAATGAAAATAGTGTAAAGCTGCTCCTTGTCAAAGGATAAGGATAGAAGACCTAAAATATTTTGAGACTTGCAAATCTCTGCGCATTCCCATGCAACAGATAAGTAGTTTTTAGAGCCTTATGGGCGATACGTTGAGACTAGGTCATGTAGATACTCTAATCTCTTAGACTTTTTAGACATTTTTTGCTGAAAGCAAGCCTCTGCATGCCAAAAAATAGTTCACACTGAAGATGGTGAGCTGTTACTAAGGACTTGATAAACGATGAACAAGCTAAATTTATGGGACCATAATGATGATACATGATAAGTGGATGGCTAAACCGAACCCATTACTTTTATTTTACTGAACGACCAGAGCTGATTTATTCATAGTACCTTGATCGCCTAACAGCAATTTAACATTTATTACAATCCTAATGTTTATTAGCTTTTAAATGAGAAGACTTATTGAGACGTCCTGAAAATGTTTATAGACTAGAACCGGAAACTGGCAAGTTGACAACCATCATTATTACTGGATTCCTAACCGAAGGAATTTTCAACATTTGGTTGAAACTCCATTAGCTAATTCATCTGGAAAAGATGAAATCACACATAAATAGTTATAGTCAAGACTAATTCTAGTCTGCTGTTCTTCGCAACCTGGAACACTCGGGTAACAACCTCATTTGACTTTCTTGAAAACAGGAATTCGAAATACAATACAGTGTGAGATACTGATGTCTTAAAGACAAAAGAATTGCAATTTTAGTTTTCCATATGAAGGGAAGCCATACCTTGTTTGTTGACATCGGATTAGGTGATGTTAATCGGCCTTTGGAAGCGGGACTTCGGAATGCCAGGATGGAAGTTATTGCAGATGTTCCTCCCGCCAAGTCTGTAGATTTTTCTTGTAAGTTTAAGTTCCAATTTAACGTATCAAGATATCGTATTCCGGATATTTTTATGGGCTGCCACTTCCAACATACTCATCCACGTATTCGCTTTCCTTGTTGCATTATACAATTTGAGGGCACATAAATCCGCAAGGGTGTGTGCTCCTATCTTCATATTAGTTATGGGGGTTCTGAACACCATATCGTTCATGTTGATTACAAGTAAATGTGATGTATGCTGACTTTCGCATTAGGTATTGTAGTTGCTGGAGTATATAAAGCCACTGGAATCACATTCAACGAAATACATGCTGTAGCGTCCGGAGTTGCTCAGACACTTTTTTTGTTTCTCTTTTCTGCTACACGCATTCCATCCACGCTATGACTGCGAAATTGAAGGTTTAGCTCCGTGTTTAGTTGTAAACAATCAAATTTGCGTCCCACTTGTATTTTCTAATCAAAATAAATGTTTTATCATATCGTTTTAAATTTTCGTACCTTTGTGGTACTCTAAGTTTAATGGTGGTTTAGTCTGCTATGTTGGGCGTTCATCATATTTGACTGCAATCACAAGTGTTTTGTCACTAGCTGTTACCCTTACCTTTCTTGAGGCATAGATCACTTATCAGCGATCCCGAACCAACTCTATCACCAGTCTTCCCGTTCAAATTTTACTAACTGCTGCCCATAATTTCAATATTTATGTCCGAACCGCTAGGTTTCTAATTTGTCTCCAGAAAATCCCAGTTCAATGCTTATGCATTGTCGTGTTTACTATCCGTCTTCAGCACCTAATTTCTTCCCAAGCTAAAATACGGTTTGCTTTCTGCTACTGTAGACTGTTGCTTATTGTGTTCAGTCTATGAATATGTAGTATCGCGTAGATAACTATAAAAACCTGTCCCCTTTGGATGATGGCTTTTGTAGTTCTTCGTCTTTTAACTTCACAAAAAGCTATTTACCTTAGTGTTGAAATTTATTATTTTGGTGCCGACTGACGGTTGTTTTGAATTCCAAACGTAGGAAACCTGCTCTTGCTTTCTTCTGTTCGCGCCATCGCATCTGCATTAAATCTTTAATTATGAATAATGCTACCTAGCAATTTTAAAGCTTTCACCTCTTACAGAGATTCTCTATTAGTCTGACATTGCGTTATAGTTTAGAATCTTGCTTTTTCTCTTGTGAATATTGAGACCTACTACTGTATAAGTAACTGCTTTACTGGTAGTCCTCACGTGCATTTGTATGAGATGAATGGGCTGTTATCTGCAAATAGTCGAGCCGTGTCCAAGCTGTCCACTGTACTCTGTTAGCAGTGTAATGGTTTTGCAGTTCTTACACTAGGATCTTTCTTTGGTATCTGATGGTACTTGTCCTTCCTCCCAGAATATTTCTGACGAGAATTTGGAGCATCTTTGCCGTTACTCCTATTTCTGACTTCATTGCTTCATCCGGTTTGCTTTATAGTCCTTCCACTTAACTACTCTCGGTTTGTCTGGTGACCTCACTCATTTCTTAGATTATTGGCGGGGCAGCATCTAAAAGAGGCTCTGTGTGTGCTGCTTCACTGTTGGGTTGGTTCTGTAGGACTGACCAACTCAATAGCTTTTCAAATTTGTCTACCCACTTGTTGCACTGCTCTTAAATACCAGTAATTGATTCGCACTTTTCCTTTGCTGGTTACTCTTGCTTACTATATTTTGCGACCATCGTCTTCACTGTATCATATAGTTTTTTCATATTCTTACTGTCGTTGCTAGGTCTACCAAATGTTCTCGCTTGTCAGTTTTAATTCTTTTCTTCATTCGTCCATTCGCTGCTGTATGTTCTGTGTCTGCCTTGACTTTCTTTGCTCTCAGACTTGTTAATTACTGCCTTGTTTTTCTTTTCATGTATCTGACTCAAGGTTTTTGTAGGAATCCAATCTTCTTGTTGGTGTTCCTTGCTGCTCAGCACCTCACGGCATGTTGAAGTTATTTCTTCCTTAATCCCTTTCCAGTTGTTCTCCGTAGCGGTTTTAACCGTTGCTGCTCATATACCGTATTAGTTCTTGTGAGCGGATTCATTTATTGATTGAGAAATATGTTGGTAACGTTTTTACGCTTACATACTTTACTCCCTATCTTATTTCTATAGACTCGTCCAATAAATTTTATAGCTTCCGGCCATTTGTGAATTTTGATTGCAGTCTTAGTCTACCGAAAATATATAACTAGTTTCACCGCTTGTTGCCCGAACCGAATTAAGATAGAGCGGGGTTTGGAAATTTTTCTTGTAGTTATGTCGTTTTACTAACTTGATTTTCCAACCCCCCTAGATAAATCCTCCAGACATTCCAAACTTGTTAATTTGCCTGGCATTCGCTTCTTGTCCTCTCAGTTTCTTAAACAACACCTTTGCCACGAGAAGGTAGTCAGTAGGGTTTTCGTGACAGTGTCTATCTATATACGCGTAGCTATATAAAAGTATTTTGCGAATAAGAGCGGACTACCCCCTCTGTCGACCGTACCATGGCATTCGGGAGTTGAAATCCTTACTCAATTCCTAACAATTCACTCTTCTAAACAGTTCACTATCAAACAAGAGCATAGAGAAACACTTCTATCAGTCTAATAGACGTAATTTGTTCTCCAGTGATCTTACGTTATTTTACCCCTGTTGTTTTTCTGTGGGGAGTTCCCAAAGTGTTTAAAAGCTCTTTGGTATAACATTTTGTCCAGAAGTTGTACCTTATTTGTACTTGATGTCAAAAACGATGTGATTATCATCCTTCAGTTAGTACTCATAGATATATAGCCTGATCTAAATGTACTTGAGTCTAATTTGTTATATTACATCAGCTCAGCGAAGTGAAATTAGCTAAACAGATAGCAAGCGTCTAAATAATAGCAGTATAAGTGATGGTAAAAAAGAGTAAGCATTAAAAAAATACTTCAGGGCAACCTAAGGAATAGAGAATATGACGTTCCGCTTAATCTCAAGGCTTAAAGAAACAGGATGAATACACTTCTGTCATCTTGATTGATTCTGAGCTATCTACAACCATTGAACGCGATCATTATGTAGTTAATTAACCGGAAGAAAGGCTACGTCTATTCACACTTATTGGCTGAATAGTCTTCCTCAGTTTTATTTTGGAGAGAACTCCTGTACAGTATACTCGTCCGTTCGTTGATAAATAGGCGTCTTGATGAAAGTTGGCAAAACTAATATTGTCCTCTTAAATGTGCTGAGAATTCGTCGATGGCAAAGTAATGTGAAAATAAAGTTAGTAAAGCAGTAGAAACTTAAGTTTTCAAATCTTTCTCGGTAGATGTAGAATCAATAAGTTTATTCCATAATCTTTGAGAAAAACCTAGACTTATTTTCTTCCGGTCAATTCGTAAGATTTGTTTTCATACACTCCGAATTCTGTAAGTACTTGGCATAGCTGGTCGAAACTTGAATTCTTTATAACATAGTTAAAACTTTCTTCGAAAGACATCAGCGGTCACTAATCTCAGTTCTGTATAGTAACATAAAATTTCTATTAGGATGGTAAGCAACAGGGAGTACAATTTGGAAATACCCAGCATATCACTTTAATAACGGTGAAGTTTTAAAACCTACTAACCCATGAATTGAAGACCTAACTAATCAGTTTGCAATAAGTTAAAAGAAGCAATACGTACTAATTGTTGGGAGTAATTGAAATGCCTTTGCTTTGGTTTGGGGATCTGTGCAATATCTCAGCTCAAACAAATTCAATGATTTGATGCCTCTATACAAATGTTTATGTGTTTCAGTAAACTGATCTAAATCAACTATTAAAAACCAAGTGAACATTCACTTCATTTAATGATCATAACCTCATGAGACACTATTTACTTTAAGTACACCTAACTTCATTAATTGTTTCACATATATAAAGATGTAAAGAGAAAACTGTAGCAGAAGATATTTACTCTTCGGTAGATCAATAAAAAATTCCACCTACTTCTTACATAACACAAGTTAACCAAAACCAAACTAGGCAATTAGTAACTATGATAAAAATTCATCAGCTCTTGATTCATTTGTACTGATGAACCCTTATAGGTAAGTGATTAAATCATTCAGAAAACTTCGTTTTTTCATTTCCTTCACGTTCAAATGGATGACAGTTTAATGACAAGACAATAGAATTCCGAAAAGTAAATTAGGTAGAAAAATAACCTGTACAGAACTACATATGATATGAACTATATTTTTCTTGTTTAGTGCCGTGGTACAGCTCAGAGTTGAGCGAATCCACTCTTCCTCTCCAAATAATTTCATTTGGCCACATATGTATAACCACTGTCAGGGCAGTTCTACTCACTGCAATCTCGTGACAATGTTGTTTACTAGATTAAGAGGGGAAAAAGAATGTCTCAAGTTTAAACCATTTCTATAGGTATGGAAGATCCATCTAGGTGGTTTGCATAACTCTTATTCTAAACCATTGGTGTACACTGGCCACCAAATTCTTAGGATGAGAATGGTGCATGTACGTACTGTCGGACACCGATTACCACGGGACTGCATCTTCTGAAGTTGGTCCAGTGCGTTGTGGATTAAACCTTCGGGTCAAAGTCTTAGGGTGCGAACCCCCGCCACAACAAAACCACTTGCTTCGGTTTGGGTGTCCATGCAGTATCCTAACCCATTCATAAATTCACTAATTTGTGTAGCGCATAAATATCTAGGTGCCTCATTGTACCTCAATGATCATGTGTTTAAATAATAAAATAAATTAGTCTTACACTATTATCATTATGAATTCAGCTCTATTGCTTTTCTTTTGTTCTCTTCTCTTTGATGTGTGATGTGTACTTCATTAGTTGAGGTGGTCGGGACATGTGCTGCGTATGGCTAACCGCCGACTGCCTCGACGAGCTATGTTTTGTAGTGTAGGAATAGGTTGGAAGAAAGTTAGGTGCGGCCAAACCAAAACATGACAGAAATCCATGAAGTCAGTGACAAGTGGACTGAGTCATGTTGGTAGTTGTCGACTACCTGGTTGGGGTCCGCGAGATGATAATAATCGATGGTTAGAGACCTTGAATGACATGGCTCAAAATCGTTCGCAATGGCGCCGGTGCATCCACTCTTTGTGTTCTCTCAAATCCTAATCTTCTGGATTCTTCAATCCCTCTAGTTTTGACTTTCTAAACTTTTCTCACTGAGTCATACTTCTTGAATAATATCTAATCCTAACCTCTCTGATTACTTCTTATACCTTTACTACCTACCTCTTCTATTATTAGATTTGAATTGACAATTATATCTCTGTGCTGATGTGGTATGGCAACATGAACTGTTGTACTTATGTGCGAAGTTCTACGTTGCATCTGACTGACTGACTGTACAAATTGGCCAAAACCTAATCGGTACTAAGTAATCCTATTTTATCCATTTCTGGCATTGAAGTGATACGTTTATTATTATTATTATTATTATTATTATTATTATTATTATTATTATTATTATTACTGTTATTACTATTATTTAAACACATGGTATTGATCAATTTGTCCTCATCATAATATCAAAAAAGGACAAACAAACGTAAACGATATTCTTTTGTTTTTCTTCTCAATTCAATAAACAACTTCATCATGAAATTACAAGTGAGTATGAGATTCCCAGTAGTAGTAGTAGTAGCAGTAGTGACCCAGTTACACATAGATAGCTCTATCTATTTTGAGAGCATTTTAAAGGGCGTTTTCGTGTGAACTCTCTCTACACTCTCTCTCTATCTTATCAGTAAGGCATGATGTATTTGGAAATGATTGATTTATTTTCTAATTACTTTTAGTAATTTAATCTCTGTTTGAAATGTACATTTTGTTTTAGTGAGTATCTTTTGGTTGTTTGCGTGTTTGTTTGTTCAAGTTGGATTTGATATATTTATTTCTTATGTATGATGTATTTTTTTTTAGATATTGGTAAATTACAATTTGTGGATGATAAAATTAAAAAAATATCTTTTTTATAAAAAATACACAGAATGTCAAAGTAGCAGCAATTTATTAGATAATAAGGAAGCATCAATGATCCCGATTGTGAATTATCATTCACGTTTATTTATTGGTCTGCTACGTCCTTCATCCTATTTAAAATCTAGTTATCATCGAATGGTAAGTTAATTATAAGGTTGTACTTTTTTTTACTATTAAAAAGCTTATTTATCTATTTTTTTTAATCGATCCACCCTTTATACTGATCGGTGTCTTAGAAGTAGTGCTCGTGTATCATAGGACAACCGTATAAGCAATGCTGTCGTTGCGAAACAAGTTCTAGGTATGGATGGCAAATCAGTAGATGAAGTGGTGAAACTTCATCAGTTGAGGTGGTTGGGTCATGTGATACTTATGCCCAACCACCGAATTTCTCCACAAGCTATGTAGGAGTAGGTTGGAAGAAAGCTAGGAGTGGTCAGACCAAAACATAGCACAAATCCATGAAGTCACTAACAAGTGGACTGAGTCATGTTGGTAGATGTAGACTACCCAGTTGGGGTCCGCAATGGTTAGAGACCTTGAACAAAATGGCTCAAAATCGCTTGCAACGGTATGGGTGCATTCATTGTTTGTCTTCTGTCAAATTCTAGTCTTCTGAATTCCTCATCATCTCTATCTTTGTCTTTCTAAATTTATCTCACTGAATTATGCTTCTCGAATCATATTTTCGAACCCTGATCTTCTCCATTACTGCTAATACTTCTACTATCTCTACCACTATTGAATATGAACTGACAGTGGCGTCTCTGTGCTAATGCGGTATGGCAATCTGAACTGAATTAGGTATGTACGCAGTTCTACGTTATAACTGACTGACAATTTCTTATTCTTTTTTTCCTATGCTAATTGTCCCCCTCTCCTTTATTTTTACACTAATCACCTTATGTGTTTATTTGGACTTTTATTTAATTGACCTTTTATTAATTTTCATATTAAAGTGCCTCGACAAGTGTACACATGTGTACAGCACGCAAATACATCACAACTTTTTTTCAGATCAACTACATTTTCCCATTGTTCGATCAAAAAAATAAACCGATATAATTAAGAATTCTTTTAAAAATTGGAATAATCTTTTTTTTTCTAGCGAGTGAGTTTACTACGGAATGGGGTCACTAAGCCTGTGACTTCCTCCGAGCTCCGGACCGGTAGTAGCCACAGAAGGGGCGGGGGCTCCAGGCGAAATCTGTCGCTTTTTCCTTTACATTTCAATATGTAATCACACATTATAATCCTGTTTGTTGGACCGCTATGACTACTACTGCTGCTCGTAGTAGAAGTTCTAATGGTTAAAAAAGACAAATAATCAAGTGACATGTCATAGTAGTGTTGTTGGTAGTAACGGTAATGATCCTGGTAGTTCAAATGATGATGATGACTGTGATATTGAATCATTAACTTTTTTCAATCCTTATTTTGCTGGATGCAGAACACGTGTTTTAGAAGCTGGAGTTGTAAAGGTCCCTCAAGAAACAACCTTCCACGGTGTGGGCAGCCGGGAAGTGACAACCACCCTCATACCCATAACAGCAAACGAGACCGAATTGGTCGAAATCAAATCCTTCCTACACACACACACACCTCTCTTATCTCCACGACTAACTCTTCTCACATTCCTTTATCACATTGCACAGCTAATGCAAACGATGTGAGTTCACGGAACGTCATTTCTGGTCTCCTGAAACCCCGCTCTAGACTACTTGTTGGAGCATTTGTTTGCAATGGCGCAAGTGCATCCATTCGTTGTGCTCTCTCAAATCCTAATCTTCTGGATTCGTCAGCTCCTCTACCTTTGTCTTTCTAACCATATCTGACCGAATTATACTTCTTGAATAATATCTTCAATCAAACCCTAGTCTTCTTCATTACTATTAATACCTCTACTTTGTTGATCACGATTGGCTTTTGCCAACCTGCGTCACTTATGGCGTAGGCGAGATATCCGTCTGCTGACTAAAGGACGAGTGTACTGTGCAGCAGTTCGCTCCGTTCTCCTATATGGCTGTGAAACATGGGCAGTGAGAGTAGAAGATATTCGTAAGTTACTAGTTTTCGATCATAGGTGTCTTCGAAGCATTGCTCGTATACCGTGGGACAGCCGAGTAAGCAATGCTGTCGTTAGGAAACGAGTACTAGGTAAGAATGGCAGATCAATCGATGAAGTGGTGAAACTTCATCAGTTGAGGTGGTTGGGACATGTGTTGCGTATGCCGAACCACCGACTGCCTCGACGAGCCTTGTTTTGTAGTGTAGGAGTAGGTTGGAAGAAAGTTAGGGGCGGCCAGACCAAAACATGGCAGAAATCTATGAAGTCATTGATTAGTGGATTGAGCCATGTCGGTAATTGTCGACTACCTGGTTAGGGTCCACGAGATGATAATAATCGATGGTTAGAGACGTTGAATGACATGGCTCAAAATCGTTCGCAATGGCGCCGTTGCATTTATTCATTGTGTTCTCTCAAATCCTAATCTTCTGGATTCTTCAACACCTCTAGTTTTGACTTTCTAAACTTATCTCACTGAATCATACTTCATGAATAATATCTTCTAACCCTAACCTCTCCGATTACTTCTAATTCCCTTACTACCTCTTCTACTATTGGATTTGATTTGACATTTGCGTCTCTATGCTCATAAGGTATGTCAACATGAACTTATGTGTACATACGTACGAAGTTCTACGTTGCAACTGACTGACTGACTGACTGATTGAAAATATGTAATTAACTCATAACTCTAACAACAATTGTATAACCTTATTTCTCTCTCTTCTACTCTTTATCTTCTCTCTTTTTTCCCTTTTTTTTTTTAAATTTTCAGCTACGGAGAATAATCTATTTGTGTATTGGCATCACATTATTATCATTTTTATGGTTAGCATTTTACATATCCGATTCAACATGGTTCAGTATGTTATTTATAATTTCAATGTCCTTTAATTAAGGCTTTCAATCAATTTTTCCAGTTGGTTTACCTATCACACCATCTTATCCATGGAGAAGTGAAAAACGTCTTGTACAGACTAAGGATAAAAGTAATCCTCATCCTCATCTTCATCTTAATCTTAATTATCATAATTCTAATAATCAATTATTAGCAGCTTTAGCTACAACAAAGTCTCGTTATATATACGGTGTTGTATTCGATGCTGGCAGTACTGGGAGTCGTGTTCATATATTCACATTAATTCATAATCCTTTGGGTAAGTACTTTACACAACATAATTTACACATTTGAAATTATCAATCAATCATTGTTAGACCACCATTAGAAGAAACCAGGAAGCACTGAAAGACGGCCGTTTCGTCCCGGTATGGGACTCATCAACAGTGCGCATCCATGACTCCTGCTCCTCGTAGTGTGGTGCTGTGGTGCGAACTACTTATAAGTAGTATATGACGTGAGTGTCAACGTAAAGTCTGGTAGCATAATATGAGGGGAAGATCAAGAAAGGAAGAGTTAGAACACAATGGAATTTGTATGAAACGCATGAATAGTGACAATGGAGTGATGTTTTGCAACAGGAACAGTCCAGTTCCATAGGATGAACTGATCTTTTGCAAATGAACGATTTACGATATGGTTTTCCGATTTTACTGAGTAACTCTGTAATTTTCGTTAAATACAATTCGGTTGCCCCACCTGTGTTCTCATTCACTACAGTAGGATTCGAACCCGGGACCTTTGGCATTGTAGGCGAACGCCTTACCATCGGACTACTGGGCCGGCATCTAACGGTGTTAATGTCTGACTCTGATTGATCCAGGGATTTTGCGCGACCTGCGAGGAGCAGGAGTCGTGGATGCGCACTGCTGATGAGTAGTCCCATACCAGGAGGAAACGGCCGTCCAGTGCTTCCAGGTTTCTTCTAATGGTGGTCTAACAATGATTGATTGATGATTTCAAATGTGTAAAAAATCGCAAGCCTCCAAAACTGTGCCCCAAAAAAACAACATAATTTGATGTAAGACTTCTTTGACGGCGGCTATGCACTCGATCAATCAACAGCAACGTAGAATTTCGTACGTACGTACGTAGGTACATCAGTTCAAGTTGCCATACCACATTAGCACAGAGTTGTAATTGTCAATTCAAATCACATTGTGTAGTACAGCTATTATCAGTAATCGAAGAGATTAGGATTAGAAGATATTATTCTGAAAGAGAATTTAGTGAAATAAAACTTAAACAGAAAAAGATAAAGGCAATGAGAGACTCTGAATGTAAGGATTTCATTGCAAACAGTTTTGAGCCATGTCATTCAGAGTCTCTAACCATTGGTGACTTTTGTCTCGTAGGCCACAACCAGTTAGTCTACATCTACAAACATAACTCAGTCCACTTGTCAGTGACTTCATGGATTTCTTCCGTGTTTTGGTCTGGTCGCCCCTAGCTTTCCTCGAACCTGTTCATACACCGCAAAATATAGCTCGTCGAGGCAGTCGGTGGTTAGGCATACATAACGCATGTTCCAACCACCTCAACTGGTAAAGTTTCAATACTTCATCTGTTGACCTGCCACCTTTATCTAGCACCCGTTTCCTAATGGGTCAGTCAGTCAGTTTCCTAATAACAGCGTTGCTTACTCGCTTGTCCCACGATACTGGAGCAATGCTTCGGAGACACCTATGATCGAAAACAAGTAACCTACGAATATCTTCTACTCTCACTGGCCATGTTTCACAGCCATAATGTAAGACGGAGCGAACTGATGCGCAGTAAGCTCGTCCTTCGCCATAGGTGACGCAAGTTGGCAAAAGCCAATCGAGCTTTCTGTATCCGTGCTGAGATTCCGTCAGTCACCAGGACACCAGCACTGATCGAACTCTTAAGATAAGTGAGGCGGTCAACACGCTCAACTGCTACACCCCCTATCACTAGTTCGGGTGCCGGGGCTGGCCAATTTTGCATTTCAAGGGGGAGAATCGCATCCCGACTATGCTTGCATTGTTGCTTATGGTAGTCAAAAGACTCTGCATTTTGTCAGCATCTTCACCAAGTAAAACTATGTCGTTGGCATATTATAAGTCAACCAATGAATCTCTTGGTAATAGGTCTACTCCTGACAATTCAGACAGAGCTAATGTTATATATAGAAGTATGTCTATGATAAAGTTAAACAAGGATGGAGAAAGTGGACATCCCTCACGGATACCTCTTGAAGTAAAGGATTCCGACGACAGTTCGCCCAACGCTCTAACTCGTGCTGTAGTGTTCGAGTAGAGAGCTTGTATAAGGTTAATGTACTTCTCTGGTACACCTTTTAATGACAAGCACTGCCATATGAGAGTATTTCAAGAGAGAAAGAGGGAACGGACTGTTATCCTTCTCTCGACTGTGCCCAGGGGCATTTGTGTGCACTGAGGTGATTTGTTTTTATTCATGTAAAACATGTATATTGAAATGTTGTTGGTTAGTTAGTAAGAATAGGTATTTAGAGTTGAGTAACAAAAATTTCTCAATTCTACATCATCATCACAAGACCTTCATCGATTGTCTTCGATGAGTAACTGCCTCATAGCCGGTAGGGTTGAACTCCGGTGGTCAAGGCTTCTCATTAGAACTCCGAGAATTCCGTCACCCATGAAGTAACTAGTGGATAACCGTGCCGAGTGTAAGACAGTTGTTTAGCGAAGACAATAGGTGATGGTCACGCAATATGGTGGATTGACTCAAGTTCGACTTCATTATCTTTGCACACCGGCTCAGTGATCAAAAGATTAGCGGTTCTCACGCGAAACCTAAGGCTCTGGGTTCGGTTCCCGCTTGTGGAGTTATGAATGCGCACTGCCAATAAGTCTCATATTAGGAAGAAATAGCTGTCTATTGCTTCCAGGTTCCCAATAGTAGTCTGACTGATCAATGAAACTCAGTCATCTCCACAACCTTATGCTAACTGAGTAAAATTCATTGTACTGCGATATCGTCTATGAAGCATATTTAATATTAATTATGAGTTTCATTGTTTTTTTTATGGAGTTATGGGGGGTTTTGTTTCTTACTGAATTCACGAATCAATCATTGTTAGACCACTAGTAGAAACTTGGTGTCAATGGACGCCCGTTTCGTCCTAGTATGGGACTGCTCATCTTTAGTACACACCCACGACTCCTTCTACTCACAGGACACGAACGAAGGACCTCCAGTCTTGCTCGTGAATGCCTAACTTCTGGACCACTAAGCCGGCATCCAATGGTGTAAATATCTAACTGACCTATTTGTTTTCAGTAGTGGGTAACAACTGCCTACACTCGATAGGGTTGAACTACTCCATTGGTCATACAGCTTCTCACTAAGAACTCTGTGAAATTTCCTCACACAACTAGCTAGCAGCTAGTCACTAGTGATTTAACTTCATTGTATCATCTTTATTCTCAAGTGATAATTTTCATTGTATATGTTATTTATTGATTTCGGATAGATCCTTTCAAACCGTACATACTGTTAGATGATAAATATCATCATGTTCAACCAGGTTTATCATCATATGCAGAGAAACCAGAAGAAGCAGCATTAAGTTTAACAAAATTAATCAATATTGCTGAAACTAGTCTTCCAACTGATGTGTGTCGTAATACTCCAGTGATTTTAAGAGCTACCGCTGGTCTACGACTAATTTCTACGCATAAAGCAGAGAATATTTTAAAAGCTGTATGTTTTATTGAATTTGTTTTAAAAAAGTTTCTGTTGTTCAATCTGTTATTTGTTTGTTTGTCTGAATTTAAATTGTCGGTTTTCAATTACTAAGCTTTATGCTAACAGTTCTCTCTTTGCAACAAACCTTCCCCTATCTAGTTTGGTTTAGTTCATGGTCGAAATCCATGAACTCATTGACAACTGAACTGAGTCATGTTGGTAGGTGTTGTCTACCTGGTTGAGGTCCATGATATGATAGTAATAAATGGTTAGAGACCTTGAATGTTATGGCTCAAAATGATTTCCTATGGAGTTCGTTGGTGCATCCATTCTTTGTGTTCTCTTTAATTTCTCTGGGATAGACTTCTCAAATGATATCTTCGATCACTAATCTTTTCGATTACCGCTACTACTTTTACTACCCCTACCATTATGAGATTTGAATTGACGACTCGATTTGTGTGTGTCCTAATGTGGTATGGCAACTTGAACTGATGTACATACGTATGAAGTTCTACGTTGCAGATGATTGACTGACTGAGTTCAGTTCTTATCATCGACCTTCTGTGCGATTATCGTAATCAGTGGTTAGAGACTTTGGGTAATGTGATATCGAATAGATCACAATGGTGTACATGTATTAACTCTTTGTCTGTTCTTTATTCCACGAATGTGTCCTTTCTTCTTGAATCATACCATGTATCTAAACCGACTAAAGTGGTTTAAGCGCCGGACATGCGCTTTTTATGCATACAATTCAGTAAATAAAACCCATCACCATGTGAAGACAGTGAGTAGGACTTGCATTCAACCAGTAACAACGTAGAACTTCGTACATACGTACATCAATTCAAGTTGCCATACCAAATTAGCACAGAGATGCAACTGTCGATTCAAACTCATAGTAGTAGAGGTAGTAGAAGTATGAGCAGTAATGAGAAAGATCATGGTCCGAAGATATTTTTCAAGAAATATAATCCAGTGTGAAATAGATTTGAGATGAGAAAGATGAAGGTCAAGAGGGTTTTCGAAGATTAGAATTTCACAGAACACAAAAAAAGGATGCACCTGCGCAATCGCAAATGATTTTGAGCCATGTCATTCAAAGTCTCTAACCATCAATTACTATCATCTCGCGGACCCCAACCAAGATAATCGACACTTACCAATGTGACTCAATCCAGTTGTCAGTGACTGCATGAATTTCCATGACATTAGTTATACATGCATGACCATGTAGGAGTATTTGAAGAGGGATGAGCGAATCCTCCGCACTCTTTGCTGTACCAGGGCATTTGAGAGCTTAAATCACATTGTTTATGCTTGAAATTTTCTACTACTCCAGCATTTACCTTAATAATGTTAACTTTTTGCGCTAATGTGCTACCGGCACTTGTAACGGTGCACACATATGACCAGGTTTTACGTGAATCATTATTGACTGACTAAAACAGTGCAGTTTCGAAGTTGAATGTATAAGCCTTTACTTTTAAATGATACTCGATCTCTAGATCACTGAACTGATATCCAGTCAGTCAGTCAGTTGCGACGTGGAACTTCGTACGTATGTACACATAAGTTCATGTTGCCATACCACATTAGAACACAGAGACGAACATGTCAAATCAAATGCCATAGTGATAAAGATAGTAGAGGTATTAATGGTAATGAAAAAGATTAGGATTCGAAGATATTCGAGAAATATAATTCAGTGAGATAAGGTTAGAAAGACAAAGGTAGAGGTGTTGACGAATCCAGAAGATTAGGATTTGAGAGAGCTCAACGAATGGATGCACTTGCACCATTGCAAACGATTTTGAGCCATGTCGTTCAACGTCTCTAACCATTGGTGACTTTCGTCTCGCGTAGCCCAACCAGGTAGTCTACATCTACCAACATGATTCAGTCCACTTGTCAGTGACTTCATGGATTTCTGCCATGTTTTGGTTTGGCCGCCCCTAACTTTCTTCCAACCTACTCCTACACCACAAAACATAGCTCGTCGGGGCAGTCGGTGGTTATCCATACGTAACACATGTCGAATTGATATCCAACGATGTACGTGTCTAATTGTGATCAATCCGTGATATTATGAACCCGTCATTCATTCTGTTTGATGGGTAATTGTCTCACATGCGACAAGGTTGAAAACTCCACTGTTCACGACTGCTCGCTAAAACTCGAAGAAATTTCTTCACGAAGCTTGTCACTAGTTTATAGTGATCTAACATGGATCGATTTATGAGTTCAATAAAAAATTGAACTAATCTACGTTATATGCACATTGAATATGACAAGTTAGACGTCGATTAACTTTTAACCTATTGAAAAAATTTACGTCATTGATAATGAATGCTGAAAAGAAAAGGTTATTATGCATTAAAAGGTTATCAGACAAATAGTCGCATTCCTTTGAGTGAATGAGTTCAAATCAATAGAGAATAAAATGGTCTGTAGAAATAACAAGAATAAAAATTGAGAATAAAAAACAATCTCTTGGAGAAAAGCACAAATCATAATGAATGAGGGGAAATAATGTTAGGATAATGATTCCATTGTCAATGTCGTGTTTGCTTTTCACGAGCTCCAGTTTCAGGAGACCAGAAATGACGTTTTCGTGAACTCTCATTGTTTGCATTAGCTGTGCAGTGTGATAAAGGAGTGTCGTGGAGATAAGAGAGGTATTAGGAGATGTAGGAAGGATTTGATTTTGATCAATTTGGTCTCGTGTGCTGTGACGGGTATGAGGGCGGTTGTCACTTCCCGGCTGCCCACACCGTGGAAGGTTGTTTCTTGAGGGACCTGAAAAGGAAGATAGATTAGTGTTGGTCTTAGAGACCTGGGTGCGTGACCGCAGAGCCCAAGGGACAACTGCTTGAGGACGGTCACGCATGGCCTTTTTATGAGAAGTTTTTCGAGTGTTAGCTCCGCTCTTGAAAGCCCTTAGTGGGGGCACCCTTACCGATGGAGACGAAAATCTGTGAGGTAGGGTGAGGTGTGACATTTTTACGGTCGACCTTCCTCTCGTTGTGAGGAGGCAGCATTGCTGCAGATGCTGGTTGTCCGAGGGAAACACCTCACTGCTGTCACACCTCTCTGCAGTCAGCAGTACGACTTCGCCCTCAGACCTCAGCTCCAGTTAGGCGTCTAAGTATTATCGAGGCCTCCAATATTTTAAACATCATATCAGTTAAACGGATTCTTTTATGATTGTCACATGAGGGCTTTTATCCTTTCTTATTCATTGTAAAAATCAATGATTGAAAGCAGTCCGATGTGATTACATCCAGTTCATAGATTCTACCTAAAATCTCAGTCAATTTAACTGCTAAAACTGGACCACCATCGTTAAAAATCTCAGGAGTCAATCTATTGCTGCATACTGCTCTCCCTCGCTTCAGATTTCCTATCGCTTTCTCAACTTCATAAAGATTCGGAGGATTTACATCGATTTGCTATTCAGGTTGACTGGAGATAGTTGATAAGCGAGGTGTAGCTGAAGGCCAGTTGAATTGCTCCCCAAAGTTTTCTGCCCATCGATCCAATCTCCTGAATTGAGAATGAATAATAAGCCCGTCTTTTTCCGACGTAGTCGTATTTGTTTTATGTTCAAAAACGTGTATGAAAGATTAAAACACCTCTTACTACGATCAGTGAATGTAATCAACCGTACAAGAATAGTTAATTCATACACATAGATGAACCAATCAATAATATCTTCACATTGATTGTACCAGTATTGACTTCATCATAAAAAAAACTCAAGTTACGTGTAGTTTAACAGCAGTATTATTCAATATCTTTTGTCAGTGAATCTGCTTAGTTAACGTGTTTAAAAGTATATTTTGTTGTTTTTAAGATTCAATCGATGTGAAGATTGTTGTTTTACACTGAAGTGAAGTGAATCGATCAATGTTATAGACCATCATTAAGAACCTGGAAGCACTGAAAGACGGCCGTTTTGTCCTAGTACATCCACGACTTTTTCTACTCGCACCTGATTCGAACCTTAGACCTTTCGGTCTTGTGTGCGAACGCCCTAACCTCTAGACCACTGAGCCGATATCTGACGGTGTTATTGTCTAACTCTAATCAATCCAAGGTATTGTGTGACTTCAACCAATGTCCGTCGGTAAGCACTACTTCACACCCGAAGATCCTGGGTTCGAGTCCTACGAGTTGCAGGAGTCGTGGATGTGCACTCCGGCATATTTTGTCCTTTATTTATTGGGTTTCTCATTGTCTCCTTGTTATCACTTCATAGGTACGACAAAGATTATCTCGAACATGTTTTAAACAATTACCAAATTCGGTCACTATAATGGATGGATTTTATGAAGGTTTATACTTGTGGATAACATTGAATTTTCTCAATAATCGTTTATCATCATCATCATCACCGACCAATGAAAATGCATCCATAAAAAATACAATTGGTACATTAGATCTAGGCGGTGGTTCAACACAAATCACATTTATTCCAACTGAATTAGATACATTCAATAATGCACCGACAGGATTTATTACTTATTTTGATGTACAAATCAATAATAATAATAATAATATGAATAACAATAATAATCGTAATCATAATCAACAAAAGGTATAGTTGTTGGTTTGTGTTCTTCTTGTTATTATTATTGTTTAAAAAAACAATTAGGCGTGTTTAATTATTGATTTTGTGTTTATATACATTTATATATATGCGATATTTGTGTAATTGTATTGTAATGCCTTTGCAAACTGTCCTATCATACAACATATAGACATTTGTTAAGAGCATAAATATGTATATATGTATATATGCTACTACGGGTTCTGTTTAGTGAAGACGCTGACAAAATGCAGAGTCTTCTGACTACTCTAAACAACAATGCAAGTATGTTTGGGATAGGGTTTTCCTCCTCGAAATACGAAATGTTACTTTATGATTGGCTTGCATTGGCACTTGAACTAGTGACATGGAGTGAAGTAGTCGGGTGTGTCGACCGCTTCACTTATCTTGGGAGTCTCATCAGTGCTGATAGCCTGGTGACTGACGAAATCTCAGCGCGGATACAGAAGGCTCGATTGGCTTTTGCTAACTTGCGTCACTTATGGCGTAGGCGAGATATCCGTTTGCTAAGCAAAGGACGGGTGTACTGCGCAGCAGTTCGCTCCGTTCCCTTATATGGATGCGAAACATGGCCGTTAAGAGTAGAAGATGTTCTTAGGTTACTAGTATTCGATCATAGATGTTTAAGAAGCATTGCTGTCAATTGCGTCTCTGTGCTAATGTGGTATGGCGACCTGAACTGATGTACGTACGTACAAAGTTGTACGTTGTAACTGACTGATCTATGTCGACTGGACAACCGATAATGGTAAAATACACACATTGTGAATACTATTTCAAGTAATCGATTAACACATCTTTTTTTGTATCGATCAAGATGCTTTAAATTTTCGTATTATAGGCAACACTACAAGGTTTGACATGATATGAACCGTATGACTGGTCTCATTTGTTTATGTATGCCAATTAGGTATGCGTTGAACCACGTTCATTTGTAGACCACCATCTATCGTCTCTGTTTATCCTGACCGTAGTTGCTACCTTGGTGCGGTGGTTGATCTTGCCTATCTCACAAGGGAGGGAAGGGGTTAGAAATGATTGACCGTATAAATGTCACACTTCATCTTACTCTACGGATTTCAGTCTCCAGTAGTAAGGATATTTCAAGAGCGGAGCTAACACTTTACAAACCTCCCATTAGAAGGCAGTTCGTGACCGGCCTGAAGTAGTTTTCCCTTGGGTTGTGCGGTCACGCTGCCAGGTCGCTCAGACCAACAGTAATCTGATTTCCTTTCCGGGCTCCTCAAGAAGTACCCTTCTACGATGTGGGGAGCCGGAAAGATGCATCCGCCTTCATACTCGTAACAGCGAATGAAACCATATTAGTCACAATCAAAACCTTCCTACACCCCTTAATAACTAACTAACTCTCTTATCTCCACCACCAACCCTTCTTTCACTCCTTTGTCACTGTCTCTGCCTGTGTGTTTACGCATACTTGATGGAATGTGACACAATCATTTACACGCAGTTTGATTTTTTGGCAAAATGTAGACTTTGACATATTAATTGCTAATTTATTTGTTTGGTTCAACATATGAGTCCTCATTCCTCAAAATTTTATATGTGCCGATAACTAAATGTAATATTTTAAAAAGTATATATATATATATATATATATATATATATATATATTGGTCCAGTTGCATTGAAATGTATTACGTCATCTTAATATTCTTCCAATATTTTCTCATGAATGTTTAGATAATGAGTGAATTGTACATTTGAGTTTCATTTGTTGCGTAAATCAAGTACTGGTGTGATGACGTCAAGATTAGCGAAGATACATTTTACTAACAAATTGTGTACGCCCTATATCTTCAGACTTCTATTAGCAGGATAAGAAAGGACAGAAGTCTTTTGTGACAATCACAGGGGAATAAGTCTAACTAATATAGTATCTAAAATATTGGCCTCAATAATACTTCGACGCTTAACAAAAGCTGGTGAACAACAGACTAGAGAAAACCAGGCTGGTTTTCGACATGGACGTGGTTGTATAGACCACATTTTCACACTACGACAGGTCCTGGAACACAGACACACATTTAGGCGTCCTACAATAGTTGTTTTCCTGGACCTAAAAGCGGCATTTGACTCTGTGGATCGTGAGGTTCTGTGGCAGTATCTGTCATTGAAAGGTTTACCAAAGAAGTACATTAACCTCATACAAGCTCTCTACTCGAACACCACTGGTCGAGTGAGAGGTTATGGCGAACTGTCACCGGAATTCTTCACTTCAAGTGGTGTCCGTCAGGGATGTCCACTTTCTCCATTCTTGTTTAATTTTATCATAGACATGCTCCTAGACATAACATTATCCTCGTCTGAATTTTCTGGAATAGACCTTTAACCAGGTGGCTCGCTTATTGACTTAGAATATGCCGCTGACATTGTCCTACTTGGTGGAGACGCTGACAAAATGCAGAATCGTCTGACTACTTTACGCGACAATGCAAGCATGTTCGGGATGCGGTTTTCCCCCTCGAAATGCGAAATGTTGCTTCAAGATTGGGTTTCATCGGCACCTGAACTAGTGATAGGGAGTGAAGTGGTCGAACGTGTAGACCGCTTCACTTATCTTGGTAGTCTCATCAGTGCTGATGGCCTGGTGACTGACGAAATCTCAGCATGGATACAGAAGGCTCGATTGGCTTTTGTCAACCTGCGTCACTTATGGCGTGGGCGAGATATCCGTTTGCTGACTAAAGGACGAGTGTACTGCGCAGTAGTTCGCTCCGTCTTACTTTATAACTGTGAAACATGGCCAGTGAGAGTAAAGATATTCGTAGGTTACTGGTTTTCGATCATAGGTGTCTTCGAAGCATTGCTCGTATATCGTGGGACACCCGAGTGAGCGACGCTGTTATTAGGAAACGGGTGCTAGGTAAGAATGGCAGATCAATAGATGAAGTAATGAAACTTCATCAGTTGAGATGGTTGGGACATGTGTTGCGTATGCCTAACCACCGACTGCCTCGTCGAGCTTTGTTTTGTAGTGTAGGAATAGGTTGGAAGAAAGTTAGGGGCGGCCAAACCAAAACATGGCAGAAATCCATGAAGTCATTGACGAGTGGACTTATCCATGTCGGTAATTGTCGACTACCTGGTTGGGGTCCGCGAGATGATAATAATCGATGGTTAGAGATCTTGACCGACATGGCTCAAAATCATTCGCAATGTCGCCGGTGCATTTACTCTCTGTGTTCTCTCAAATCCTAATCTTCTGGATTCTTCAACATCTCTAGTTTTGACTTTCTAAACTTTTCTCACTGAATCATACTTCTTGAATAATATCTTCTAATCCTAACCTCTCCGATTACTTCTAATTCCCTTACTACCTCTTCTACTATTGGATTTGAATTGAGAATTACATCTCTGTGCTGATGTTGTATGGCAACATGAACTGATGTACTTACGTACGAAGTTCTACGTTGCAACTGACTGACTGACTCTATTAGCAGGACAAATAGTTTATTATCTGTCTTCTATCCTTCAAAACACTTTATTTGCACCATGCATACGGCGGATCTTACACTCTTCTCTTCAGCATTAACTTCTGTCCGAGAGTCCGCTGCTTACTAATGTTAAGCCACGTTGTTATAGTATGCACCAGACACTGGCTAATGTGTGATGGAAATCTACGTTTTATTTAATAGAATTGCGTATAAACCACTCCTAACTGTCTGTATTCTATTGAAATTATTTTGTCTAACAGTTGACACGAACTACTTAATTGTCCATGTGAATTTCTCTGAACTAGGCGGATTTCTTAGAGATTGACCACTTCCTGGTCCAACTCACAAGACAGTAGTGGATTGACGTTAGGAGATGCGGTCTCATGATAGCCAGTGATTAAAAATAGGTTCATACGCTATTTGTTCCTTCAGTATCCTAGAGGTGTGATGTGCTCCATTGGTTTGGAATGACGGCTCGCCAACTCCTCCGTGAGGTAATGTCAGGTGTGCCATTTTTACGGTCGACCTTTTCTAACCCCCTCCTTTCGTTGTGAGAAGGCAGAATCACTGCAGATGCTGGCTGTCTGAAGGAAACACCTTACTGCTATCACACCCCTGTACAGTGAGCAGTAGAACTTCACCCTCAGACCTTCAGTTGACAATTCGATCTCTGTGATAGTGTGACATTGCGATTCGAACTAATGTACGTACGTACAAAGTTCTTCGTTGTTGCTGATTGACTGATTGAATAACACAAATTATGTTATTCGATCCCTAGTGTTGATCAATGGAAACTAATTGAGATTTTGCCTGACATATGAGTCCAAGACTTCTTATTACCGATTTTCTCTAACCCTTATATAATATCGAATCGTATAGCCTGGTTGTACACTGTGTTTAGAATTCAGTGTTCAATAGGTTTCAAGCCCAGCATCAGAGATTCAATATGACAGTACAGTGGTTACTATGAGATAATGATGACGATGATGATGGATTAGTGTTGTTAGCATTTGTGACCTTGTTGGCTTAGTGCGAATATTTCTGAATTGTTAGCTGATGATAAATACCCCGAAGCATTGCTCGTGTATCATGGGACTACCGTATACGCAATGCTGTTGGTAGGAAACGAGTTCTAGGTAGGGATGGGAAATCAATAGATGAAGTTGTGAAACTTCATCAGTTGAGGTGGTTGGGACATGTGTTACGTATGCCTAACCACCGACTGCCTCGACGAGCTTTGTTTTGTAGTGTAGGAATAGGTTGGAAGAATGTTAAGGGCGGCCAGACCAAAACAAGGCAGAAATCCATCAAATCACTAACAAGTGGACTGAGTCATGTTGTTAGATATAGGCTACCTGGTTGGGGTCCGTGAGACGATAGTCACCAATAGTTAGAGACCTTGAACGACATGCCTCAGAATCTTTTGCAATGGCGCAGATGCATCCATTCTTTGTGTTCTCTCAAATTCTAACCTACTGAATTTCTCATGATCTCTACCTTTCTCCTTCTAAATTTATCTCACTGAATTATACTTCTCGAATCTTATCTTCACTTCTTACTGCTAATACTTCTACTATCACTATCACTTTTGGATTTGTACTGACAGTTGCGTCTCTGTGCTAATGTGGTATGGCAACCTGAATTGATGTACTTACGTATGAAGTTCTGCGTTGTATCTGTCTGTCTGTCCGATGATAAATACCAACTATGATGTGGTAAAAGTCAGTTTTATGACTATTTTTTAGACATTACCTTAAAACTACTACTGAATAGCCGAGCAGAGATATACTTTATTCACTTTTGTTCACTCTTTTTTTACTCTCTCTCTCCCATAGATTTATTCACATAGTTATTTAGGTCTTGGTTTAATGTCTGCACGTTATTCCATGTTATATAATGCAACTGAACATTTTAAATTAATTACTGAAGGAAAAAAACAATTTTTACATCCTTGTTGGCCTAATAATGTAACGGTAAGTTGAATGTTTCTTTTTTTTCACGTATATATGTACATGAAAGAAAGTGTTGTGAAGGCTGTTAAGTTGCTTTTTGATACATTTAAAATGAATTAATCATTGTTAGATCATCATTCAAAAAAAAAACTTGGAAGCATTGAAAGATGGCTGTTTCGTCCTATCTGGTATGGGACTCATCAGTGGCAGTGTGCATCCATGACTCCTGTTACTCGTTGTTATGCCTGCGCGTAAACACGTCAACTTGATATACTTGAAGTATTACGAGTTTACCCTAGTCGGAATACGTGAGTGAGGGTCGAGGATCCGGTGACACGACATGTCGCTCTAATCCGAGTGTCCCAACACCCATATTAAGTAAAAATAGAAAGATTTGTTATGAAGTAGAACCTGTATTCTACAAGCATTCAGAAAGTACGAGGTCCAAGTCCAGAAGAGAATCAGAATACCGGCCTAGGGATCCGGGACCGTGTCCTGGTCATAAAACGTTACAGATAATGCGTATTTATACAATTTATTCGAATAGGAAACAGCATCGAAGTCTGTGACATTGACAGTTAAGACGACCAATAAGAAGCAACATTTGAAGTGACATAGAAATTCAGGATGATCAATAAGATACAACATTGGAGTACGTGACATTGATATCTAGGACGACCATAAAATTGACCAGTAAGAATTAACCAATAGGAATTGACCAATAATTCTCTTAGGATAATGGATGAGTATCCTAACACTCGTAGGATTCGAACCCAGGACCATTGGTCTTGCGCGCGTGTGTGTGTGTTTAACTCCTTGATCACCGAGCCGGCATCTAACAGTGTAAATGCCTAACTTTAATGTATATATTAAACTTCCAATAATTAAAATCCTGATTGTTTTGGTCAGTTCTGATTTAAAACATTTAAGCCATCAACCATAATCAAGATCCTGGAGCTGCAAAAAATAGCAGACGTTAGGCAGAATTATTATACTTGAAGAAAAAAGGGTTAAAAAATATGATAAGACCTACAGCCAAAGATTAGAAATAATAATCAAAGTAGTATTAATTACGGTGGAGTTTCATTCTGTAAGATGGATGTTTTGCTTGTAGAGCTGTCATTGTTTTCTTCTGGACATTGCCAGGACAAATTTCAGGTATAAAAATTGAAGTATTTGAATTTTTCCATGTATGACTCGTATAGCTGGTCCTGTTGACACGTGACACGCTTGTCGCTGTCCAAAAATGGGAGACTTTCGCCAAAAGGCTGGCTTCCACTCAAGAACAATTCTACTTCCTCCATGAATGTTTTCGTCGTCAGCATCTTCTGACATAAAGTATCAAGGTCAACAAGACAAGGTACGAGTCATACAGGTGGAGCAATCCGAATACTTCACTACTTCTATCTGAAATGAGTGATGTAGAATTTGATATGTAGATACTTACTTGTTAATGGTAACTAAAAATGATCAGAAGTTGAAAGTGATGCAACTCAAGGAAATCTGAAATAAAAACAAAAAGATTATGATAAATTCAAAAACTTTAGCACTTGGAGGGAGGACAAACGATTTTTAGCCATGTCACATTTCAGAATCTCTAACCACCGGTTACAGTTATCACATGGATTCCAACCAACTAACTAACTAGTCTACACCTGTTAACATTTTTATCCGTCCAATTGTCAATGACTTCATGAACTGACACCATGTTTTGATTTGGTAACGCTTAGATTTCTTTCAACTCCCTACGCATACAACAGACAGTATCGATCGTCGAGCTAGGCGGTAGTTGGTTGAAGATGCAGTACTTCATCAATTGACTTGCCATCCTTACTCTTAGTATACCAAATTCATAAACCAACTAACTAAAGCTTCTTATTCGATGGTCCCAGAATATATGGGCAATGCTTCGAAGACACCGATAGCCGAATACTAATAACCTATCAATATCCTCTGTTATTAGTGGTTAAACTATACCCCCATATAGAAGTACAAGGGCGAAGTGCTTGCTGCCTTTTGGTTTGCAGACATATGTCTCAGTTGTAATCTGTTGGTGTATGATGCATATTTATATGTATACATGGTATTTTCCAACCTGCGTCACTTATGGCGTACGCGAGATATCCGTTTGCTGACTAAAGGACGAGTGTACTGCGCAGTAGTTCGCTCCGTCTTACTTTATAACTATGAAATGTGGCCAGTGAGAGTAGAAGGTATTCGTAGGTTATTGGTTTTCGTTCATGGGTGTCTTCGAAGCATTGCTCGTATACCGTGGGACACCCAAGTGAGCAACGCTGTTATTAGGAAACGGGTGCTAGGTAAGAATGACAGATCAATAGATGAAGTAATGAAACTTCATCAGTTGAGGTGGTTGGGACATGTGTTGCGTATGCCTAACCACCGACAGCCTCGACGAGCTATGTTTTGTAGTGTAGGAGTAGGTTGGAAGAAAGTTAGGGGCGGCCAGACCAAAACATGGCAGAAATCCATGAAGTCATTCACTAGTGGACTTAGCCATGTCGGTAATTGTCGACTACCTGGTTGGGGTCCGCGAGATGATAATAATCGATGGTTAGAGACCTTGAATGACATTGCTCAAGATCGTTCGCAATGGCGCCGTTGCATTTATTCTTTGTGTTCTCTCAAATCCTAATCTTCTGGATTCTTCAACACCTCTAGTTTTGACTTTCTAAACTTTTCTCACTGAATCGTACTTCTTGAATAATATCTTCTAATCCTAACCTCTCCGATTACTTCTAATACCTTTACTACCTCTTCTACTATTGGATTTGAATTGACAATTACATCTTTGTGCTGATGTGGTATGGCAACATGAACTGATGTACTTACGTACAAAGTTCTACGTTGTATCTGACTGACTGACTGACTGATAATATTTTCCAAGAATTCTAATCAACACACAATAAGTAACTGTCAATTTTACAATAATTATTCATTTAAGTTTTCATCTCATTAATTAATTTTCCCCAATTTTTATAGCTTAAATGGAATCATGCTGGTCAAGATTGGCAAATCAGTCGTATGAATCAATCTTGGTCGAAATTGTTATTATCTTACATTAAAACAAATTCAATCATTTATCATCAATCAGCAATTATTGATCCGATCAATAATAATGATTATTCACTGTTGTGTTATGCATTAGCCTTGAATGTATTACAAAATCCGGTTGAAGGTAAAAAAATAAACCAAAGGCTTTGATTTTGGATTTCATTGCTATTGTTTGTATTAGTGGGACATAGATTGGAAATAAAGTATGATTACGTTGTTGCACGCTGATTGGCTATTTCGTGTCCAATCAGCGCTAGCCAATACTGAGGGGAATATTCTAGAATCTTTTCATTTCAGAAAACTATAAATATACTAACACGTCTTTTTCCTTTGGACCTTCTGTCTTCCTTCGAACCTTGTTATTGGAATATAATCTGTATTTCCTGTTCAACCGTGTTCTGATTTTCGGGACAACGTCTGGAGTGAATTATGGTCCGAGAGTACTACTAAGCATTGGGAACAGCTAAGTTATAATAAAGAGTGAGAATTATGACAGTTTGTGTTTGACCTTACTTACTTACTTACTTACGCCTGTTACCCCCGATGGAGGATAGGCCGCCAACCAGTTTTCTCCAACCAACTGTGTCCTGGGCTTCCCTCTCCAGTTCTGTCCAATGTTTGTTCATTCCTCTCATATCTTTCTCTATTTCTCGGCGTAATGTATTCTTTGGCCTTCCTCTTTTCCTTTTGCCTTGAGGGTTCCATGTGAGGGCTTGTCTCGTGACGCAGTTAGGTGCTTTCCGCAATGTGTGTCCTATCCACTTCCACCGCTTCTTCCTGATTTCCTCCTCCACTGGAATCTGCTTTGTTCTCTCCCACAGTTCGTTGTTGCTGATGGTGTCTGGCCAACGAATACGAAGTATTTTGCGTAGACAGCTGTTAATAAACACTTGTATCTTCTGAATGATGGCTTTGGTAGTTCTCCATATTTCCGCTCCATACAGTAGAACTGTCTTCACATTTGTATTGAAAATCCTGATTTTGATTTTGGTTGAAAGTTGTTTGGAGTTCCAGATATTTTTCAACTGTAGAAATGCAGCCCTCGCTTTGCCAATCCGCACCCTCACATCTACATCGGATCTACCTTGGTTGTCGATGATGCTGCCCAGATATGTAAAGGTGTTAACGTCCTACAAGGCATCTCCATCAAGAGTGATTTGATTGGTGCGATGTTGTGTTGCATCGGAGAATTTTGCTTTTTCCTTTATGTATGTTGAGACCCAATGCTACAGAGGCTGCTGCTACACTGGTCGTCTTCTCTTGCATTTGTTGTTGCGTGTGAGATAGAAGAGCCAGGTCATCTGCGAAGTCCAGATCATCCAACTGCGTCCTGACTGTCCAGTTGATACCGTGCTTCCCTCCAGATGTTGACGTCTTCATAATCCAGTCGATCACGAGGAGAAAGAGAAAGGGTGAGACTAAGCAACCTTGCCTGACACCGGTCTTCACCTCGAAAGAGTCTGTCAGCTGACCTCCGTGCACGATTTTGCAGTTTGACCTACAGGTGCAAAGTAAAAAGAAACAGTTCCATGGTTGTCGGTGACCATCAAATAGGTTCATATGACATTTGTTTCCACAGGATCTTGGGATGGATGTACATTGTCGGTTTGTAAATCAGAACTCTCCAACTTCCCTAGATAGGATCGTTTGCACACCGATTCGGTTTAGACGCCGGTCAGACAGTTGGTTTTCATTCTCTCAATTTTGTAGACAATACTTTGTCATCAAATGTCATTGAGTAGGACTTCCATGGCAGTGTGGTTATATGAGAGAGAGAGCAGACTCTTTCAACTATTTCATTCAACCAGGTTTTAATGAGATATTGAACACTTATCAAAATGCCGGTCGTGCACTGTCTTTTGGTGAGAGGTTAACGTGTTAGCTCCTCTCCTTAAATGGCCCTACCCACGGAGACGGATATCCGTGGGACAAGGTGATGTGTGACATTTTTAAGGTCGATCTTTTCTAACTCCTTCCTTCCGTTGTGAGAAGGTAGCATTGCTGCAGATGCTGCCTGTCCGAGAGAGACATCCTACTGCTGCCACAACTCTCTACAGTCAGTCATGAGACATTTAGTTGCTGCTTTTAGTGTCACTGTTCTCCAATCGACCTGCTTGACATGGTAGGACCCAAAGGAACATATATTGTCCAGTCAATATAGCTTAATTTTGCGCATATCCTTAACCTCTTATCATACTTTTTAGAGTATTTTTAATCTTGTCCACTAAATCTGTTTATCTCTTTTTCCTTCTTCTGTCAAATTAGGTGATAAAAGTCTCATCCGATATCCACCATACAATAATATTGTTCATCAACCATTTGAAGTGAAAACACGTGAATTCTATGCCTTTTCATATTATTTCGATCTGGCTGTTAGTGTTGGTTTAATACATGAGAATGTTGGTGGATTTTTAACTGTTAGTGATTTTCAAAAAGCAGCTGAACGAAGTGAGTTTCGTTGGATGTGGGTGTGTCTGTGTGTGTGTGTGCCTTTTTTAAAAATAGACTCTTAAAGTCAAGACAAATCTCGCAAATTCGAACGTGATACGCCCTAACCCCACACAATACTACCACTACTACAATTACTACTTGAGAGGGAAGGTCAGTGTGCTGAAAAGCAAGGCTGCTGAATCATAATACAGAAATACTCATAAATGAATATATGTATATTCACCCATCTGTTGACCAACGATATGTATTCATCCTTTAAGACATTTCTGATGGTCATTGGGTGGTGGGTGACCTTCTCATTCGATCGCTTCTGATTGACTCTCTAGACTAGAGTTTGTTTATTTTATGGATACTCCTCAGCTAATTACACAACTGATAGTTTTAGATTATAATAAATCGGCTGAGCAGATCGATGAATGCATGTTAGTCAGCTGCTATGATATTTGTTCATTTTTTTAAAAATTAAGTTTGTAAATGAGAACAATTGTTTGAAGGAACTTTTTTCCTTCTCGTTTCCTGTCTCTCTCTCTCATACTATCATTGTGCCTCAAAGCGCTACTTTTTAACCCCATGGCTTGACTTCGCCATGAGATATTGAGTTGCTGCTTTTAGTCTGATTGTTCTCCAAATCGACCTGTGTTGTAACGGTTGCTTACGATATTTCCCGGCTAAATCTTATTGCTTAGTATTCTTGACACAAAACACTGGACAAGTAACACAAATCAAAACACGGTTGAACAGGAAGGATTGTATTCCAAAATAGCAAGGAAAAGAAGCTGGAGGTGATGGCGAAAGCCAAGGCAAAAAGGCTTGAAGCGAAGAAGACTAAGAAGGCAAAGATAAATGCAATGCTAGTCTATTTATAGCCTTTAGATGAGAAAACTTCTGGACGAAAATTCACGTGACCGACTGGACTGGATTTGACCAATCAGCATGCAGCTAATAATACAAGAATTTTCTATCCTGTTCTCCAAGCTTCGATCAGGCGCTGATTGGATAGGAAATTAGCCAATCAGCGCGTAGCAACGTAGTGGTGCTTTAATTCCATCTATGTCTCGCTAACAACCTGCATGGCATGGTAGGACCTACAGGAACACATATATTCCTCCCAATAGGAGCTCGTTTGGGTCATCACAATAGGGCAAGCCCGACTACCACGTCAACGGAGTAGCTACGATCAGGACGACTTTTAATTTTGAAAATATTCCATATCACGATTATTATTATTGTCTTAGGACAATAGAATATAAACTTTGTTTAAGTTAGTAGAGATTACTATGAACAAGAGAATGTATGAGAAAAGAAATTTTTTTATTTCCACCCTATTGATTATTTCATGTGATTTGTGCAAGGAGAGAGAGACAGAGAGCGAGTGAGAGAGAAGAAACTAAACTAGTTCCATATCAACACTATTTACTTGAAATGATCTATGCGTTTTATTTGGTTCTATTTTTCCAACTGTAAAAAAAGTCTTGAGAATGAGATTTATTCCTGCACTTCTTCAACTCATCGATTAATTTCGTTCAATTCATAGAAATAAGGCTTATAAGTGTAAGAAAAATTATTCATATATATATATAGTGTTGTGTAGCTCTCGCGAATGCTTTGATACTACTGCCGCGAGTAGGGAAAGTTCTCTACCCTCTGTCCAAATGTTCTCAAATGACCACTGATGCATAATAGCTACTACCACAGACGTACTACTCACTGTCGAAGTGTTGTGTATCAAAGTGAGCGAATGAGTAAGTGGGTACAGAATCGATTCATCTAAGAAAGTTAGAAAACCCTGATTCCAAACAAGTGGTACACATCGGTTTCACCATCCTGAAATGATGAAACGACTATGAACCTATTGTTGGTCACCGTGTATCATACCGCGACGAGCAATGTTTTGTGGTGTAGGAGTAGGTTGGAAGAAAGTTAGGGCAGGCCAAACCAAAACATGGCAGGAATCCATGAAGTCACTGACAAGTTTACTGAGTCATATTGGCTGCGGTCCGCGAGACGATAGTCACCGATGGTTAGAGATCTTGAATGTCATGGCTCAAAATCGTTTGCCATGGCGCAGTTGCATCCATTCTTTGTGTGCTTTTTAATTCTAACCTTCTGAATTCGTCATAATCTCTATCTTTCTCCTTCTAAATTAATCTTACTGAATTATACTTTTCGAATCATATCTTCGCTCCCTAATCTTCTCCATTACTGCTAATAATTCTACTATCACTGTGTCACTCTTGGATTTGAACTGACAGTTACGTCTCTGTGCTGACGTGGTATGGCAACTTGAACTGATGTACTTACGTAAGAAGTTCTGCGTTGTGTCTGTCTGTTTGCCTATCATGGGATTGCATATGCGCTAACGTTGTTCCACTGTTCCACTACATCAGACTCTTCTCTCGCCAAAGACTCGTAGTGTGAGACCCTCTGAAAAAAAAACCACCTGTTTCAGTTCGGGTGTCCGGACAGTAGTTTCTCAATCTTTGTGCACTAATAATCATGTGTTTAAATTGATAAAATAAAATAACAATCTCATGAATTCATTTTTCACTAGTATGTGGGGTCCAAATTTGCTGCGTGTTCTTAAGTTTCGTTATTAGCTCGTTCAGACAATCGTCACTAAGTAGCGTTTGACGGTTTATAAATCAGAAGTTGAATTCGTAGTGATGAATACGTTCATTTTGGGACACACCACAAAGCTAGGTTGAAAAGCAGCTAACAAAGCGTACGAAACGATGTGAATTGGAGAAGGCTGTTGAGCCAACAACTCCTGTGATCACAATGCGAACGAATGGGCGAAGGAAGCGATGTGGACAGACGAAGAGCTTTGGAGAAGCCTGATGAGCTAACTCAAAGAAATAGAGCATGACTAAGACTATATAGTCAGACAAATATAAGACAGACATGTGACCAGCAAAATAGGCAAACATGAATAAAAGCGACGAATGATTGACAAGGTCAAATGACAAGTGGAACAAGTCACATGAGCTCATACAAACCAGACAATCATAAGAACGAATGGTACAACATATGAATTGTTGCAATACAAATGGCTTGGTTAAATAAATTAATCGGAAGGGCTTAACCAAGTTAGATGTAAGCGAACTGGAATATAATATGTGAAGGCACTACAAGTACATATAAAGGATATTACAAATTATTGCATACAATGGATTTCTTTTTTTTTCGGGTGAGAAAGTGTAATGAATAAAAGTTCATTATTAGAATAATAAAAATTTTATTTTCTTTTCATGTGATGATTACTCTTGAACTAGTTACAATTTTAATATTTTTTTTTATATGCCTATGTATCACCGCTCCCTAATGGAGCAAGCAATAGGCTGCCGATCAGTAGTTATTATTCTAGTTAGTGTTTTTGTTAAGCGATTTGGTTTTCTATGCTGTGGGAATAGGGTTGCTAACCCTCCTCGTTTATCCGTACTTGGGATTTGCAATCACTTTAGAAGGGCTCTTACTTATTTGCTCACTTACTTTACTTGTGTTTGTTACCCACAATGGAGCATAGACCTCCTACCAGTATTCTTCAACCTACTCTGTCCTGAGTCTCCCTCTCCCGTTCTATCCAACTGTTGTTCATTCTTCTCATTTCTCGGTATAATGTGTTTGATTGGCCTTGTTTCCCTTTGATTTTGAGGGTTCCATGTGAGGGCTTATCTTGTGACGCAGTTGGGTGCTTTATTCTATGCGTATCCTATCCACTGCCAGTAGGTCTTCCTGATTTCTTTCTCCACTGAAATCTGGTTGATCTAAATTCTTGTAGTGAAAAGACTCGTTCTGTTTGTATTCTTATTTTAATTGAACTTTTGTGTCCACTAATTATTACTGATATTCCATTGTGATACACTAGTTCCTATCTATCTGTTTTTGTTATTGTTGTTATACTGACTGTTCTTTTTGTCTATCTCCTCTTCCTCACAACTTCATTTTTATATATATAAAATATTGAAATCATGAATCAATCATTGTTAATAGACTACTATTAGAAACCTGAAAGCACTGAAAGAGCGGCCGTTTCATCCTACCTGATATGGGACGACTACTCATCAATGTCACAATGCACATCCATGACTCTTGCTATTCGCACAAGATTCGAACCCCAGGACCTTTCAGTCTTTGGGTTGGGATAGTTTGTATTTCCTGTAACTTGAAGTCTAGATTTCATTTTTTTTTGTTAATTCATTCATCTGTGGCATGAGAGCCAGCTACGCGCTAAGTTCGAAAACTGACTGATGGATGATACTATGTAATCGCCCTCGTCAATCTTGTAGGACCAGTGGGATTCGAACCTGATGACAGACAGATAGATACAACGCAGAACTTCTTACGTAAGTACATTAGTTCAGGTTGCCATACCACATCAGCACACAGAGACGCAACTGTCAGTTCAAATCCAACAGTGATAGCATTCATAGAAGTATTACTGGTAATGGAGAAGATTAGGGAGCGAAGATATGATTCGAGGAGTGTAATTCAGTGAGATAAATTTAGAAGGAGGTTAGAGAACACAAAGAGTGGATGCACTTGCGCCATTGCAAACGATTCTGAGCCAGGTCGTTCAAAGTCTCTAACCATCAGTGACTATCGACTCGCGGACCCCAACCAGTTGGTAGCCTACATCTACCATGACAGACAGTAAAAATATGATTCCAAAAAGAAAGAATTTCACTTTTTTTTCTAATTTATTTTTTATGCATTGTTATTTCAATTCGTTTCTTTCTTTCTATCCAAATCATTTGTTCTTCATAGTTTGTCGTAATCCAAATCCGAGAAAACCATTTGATTGTATGGATGTGTGTTTTATCACTGCATTACTGCATCATGGTTATGGATTTCCATTGGATAAAAAAATTGGTGTAAGTTAGTGAACATGTGTGTAATTGTTTGAATAATGATGTTGATGATGATAATGATGATGATGAATCATTCTTCTCTTTGAAAGGCTCGAATATCTTGGGATCAATGAATATGCAATGATGTTGTCGGGAAATAGGTTCTAAGTAAAGATGACAAATTAATTGATGAAGTACTTTATCTTCATCAGTTGAAGTAGTTAGGACATATGTTGCGTATGCCTAACCACTGACTGCGTCGATAAGAGATGTTATCTGAATTACAGTTAGGCTGGAAGAAAGCTAGGGGGCGGCCAAACCAAAACATGGCGAAAATCCATGAAGTTATTGACAAGTGGACTGAGTCATATCAGTAGATGTAGGCTACGTGATTAGGGTCCTCAGGACAATCCCATGACTGGAAATCATTTTCGATGGCGCAGATGCATCCATATATATACATATATATATATATATATATATATATATATATATATATATAATGACTGATAATATCTTCATTCCTTAATTTTTTGCAATCGCTCCAATTTCTGTTTGTTTTCCAACTACTAATCTATTTTCAATGAACAGATAATTTAGTCAGTCAATTACAACGTAGAACTTCGTTCATACATAGCACAGAGAGATCGAATTGTCAATTCAAATCCTATAGTAGTAGAGTTAATAAAAGTATTAGCAGAAGTTGGAGAGATTACGGTTCGAAGATATTTATTATTCAAGAAGTATAATTCAGTAAGATAACTTTAGAAAGAGAAAGATAGAGATGATGAAGAGGATTTGAGAGAACACAAAGAGTGGTTGCACCTGTACTATTGCAAACAATTTTGAGCCATGCCACTCAAGGTCTCTAACCATCGGTTACTATCATTTCGTGGGCCCTAACCAAAGTAGTCTACACTAAGCAACACGGCTCAGTCCACTTGTCAGTGACTTCATGGATTAGTGCCATGTTTTGGTCTGGCCGCCCCTAGCTTTCTTCCAACCTACTCCTTCATCACAAAACATCGCTCGATGAGGCAGTCGGTGTTTAGGCATTCGTATCACATGTCCCAACCACCTCAACTGATGAAGTTGTACTACTTCATCTTATTGATCTGCCATCCTTACCTAGAACCCGTTTCCCAATATCAGCAGTTACTTGTTTATCAGACTGATATTTCGCCTACACCATAAGTGATAATCGCAATGAAATGAAAAAGATTACGTAACTACATCTAATAGGCAAAAGTTCAAGTGGATAATAGGAAAATAGGTGTAATGATAGTAGTAAGAAAATTTATAAAATATGATAACTAAAGTAGGTCAAGGGTGGATGAATAGAATTCAAATAATCATCAAAAACGTCAAAAACATTACGTAATAAGCAAATATGTAAAAATAAAATGAAATAACATTTTCATATAAATATTCATGTATATTAGAGTAAAGCCTGATAACGATCTAATCGAAAACAACAATATTGTTCGCTTATATGTGTTGTTCTAATTTTCACAATGGGAATCTTTAAAATACACCATAAGTGACGTAACTTGGCAAAAGCCAGTGCTGAGATTTCATCACACACCAGGCCATAAGCATCGATGAGACTGCTAAGATAAGTGAAGCAGTTAGCACACTCAACTACTTCACTCGCTATCACTAGTTGAGGTGTTGATGCAAGCCAATCTTGAAGCCACATGTTGCATTTCGACAGGGAGAATCGCATCCTGAACATGCTTGCTTGCATTACTACTTAGGCTAGTTAGGAGACACTGCATTTTATCATTCTTGTCACTGATTTCTATTAACATCTCATTGAATTCATTAAGTCATTAAACTAATGTAATTTAATTTGTTCATTTTATTATTATTTTTATTATTATTATTTTATTGTTTCATACTGATATTGTTACGCCTGCACGTAAACACGTCAACTTGATATTCTTGAACGATTACAAGTTTACCTAGTCGGAAAAAAACGAGAGCGAGGATCCGGTGACTTGACATGCTACTCCCAATTCGATTATCCCAACCCCCATATTGAGTAAAAATAAGAATACTTGAATGTGAAGTAGAACCTGTATTCTACAAGCATCCAGAAGAGAATCAGGATCCGGGACCGGGTCGTGGTCGTCAATTGTTACAGATAATGCGTATTTATACATTTTGGTCGAATAGGAAACAGCATCGAAGTCTGTGACATTGACAGTTAAGACGACCAATAGGAAGTAACATTTGAAGTGACATTGATAGTCAGGACAACCAATAAGAACAACATTGGATCATGTGACATTGATATCTAGGACGAACATAAAATGAACCAATAGGAAGGAATTGACCAATAATTCTCTTAGGATATTGGATGACTATCCTAACAGATATCCTGTCAAATGATCATTTTTAACCTAAATGACATTTATATATTACTTATTACTACAATGCATATTATAATAACCTTTTTTGTCTCCTACTCCTCATTTTATTTTTATTTATAGTTTTTTAGAAAAGTGAATTCATTCGAAATTAATTGGAGTCTTGGTGCCTTATTCTCTGAAATGTATAATAAGTAGTAGTCTGTTACTTTGTTCCTTGGGCTTTTTATTTAAAAAAATCAATAAAATGTCTCTCACTTATTTACATATATATATATCTGTATATCTATCTATCAATCTATCTATATTGATCCACACAGATCAGATTTCTCCATTGATTTTGAAGTTGTTTCTTCTTTGTCTTTTGTTTTCTCTTAAAAGAAACTCTCTTCTTCACTTAGAGTTTTTAAATCCACTTGTGTATTATGTAATAGGGAGATTATGGCTAATAGTAGTAGTAGTTTGTCTCTTTGTTTTCTGACTGGTTCATCATTCATGGTTGGTTAATGCAACAACAGTGACCATAACCACAATTGTTTTTCTCGGCGTAGAATGAACGCTAACACCACACCACAATACACAGACCCAATATTGAATTTTAAACCGTTTGTTAGAGTTTGTTAGTTTGTTTATTACTCGTCTTATTTATTGATCTAAATTAAATTATTCAACGAATTGATTGATTGAGTCAAATAAATGGTGTGTTTTTGTGTAACTAACTACTCAGTGAGTTTTGTTTCTTATTGGTTGATGTGTGTTGCACAGATCCGTGACGGGAGTTTTTATTGTTTTCTGTTTGTTTTTTTTAGTCTTTATTATCATAGTTGTTTGTAGATGATAAATGTAAAAAGTGTATTTTTTGTTTATCAATGCAAAACAAAATTATTACTATCATTATTATTATTATTTTACTGATGTTTTTTTTCAATTTAACATAAATTTTATAATATTTTTAGTTTTATTGATGAATATTTTTTTATATCCGATTTACTCTGATTGTATGTCACGCTTAATGGAGTATATAGTCCTGCTGACCAGCATTCTCCAAATCACTCTGTCCTGGTACTTGTTTTCTGGTTCTGTTCTATGTGTCAAGAAGAGCATCAGATTCGACGAGAATTTCGAAGGAACACTCGGTTTTCATCATGAGATATCATAACTCTTTGTTACGTTTGTCACTAGGTGTACGCTTGAAGCTATTACGAGTTTACCTTAGTCGGTAAACGCGAACGAGACAATTACTAGCGTCCAGATAGGCTACCTTGAATACCAAACTGCAAAATAGAAGTCTTAATAAGCGTAGAAGGTATATTCTACAAACTTTCAGCAATCACAATACAATTAAGCATACAACTTTCGTCTATTTATACAACATAGAAACGTCCTTGAGACAGTTAAGAAAATAGCACACTAAAATACACAGCAGCCAATCACAGCCATGGATTTTCCTGGTGAGAATTGAAATCTCAAGGTGAACTGATCATTCCATGCTGGCAAACGTGAAATCCAAAATAATGCATTTAACAAGCGAGTTTTGGGGATCTAACATCCCCAACACTCTTCTAAATGATGACCGAACTCCCGAGAGTAAAGTTTATATGGCTGTTATGAAGTCACGTCCATTGATATTGCTTGAAATATTACGAGTTCACCTTAGTAGGTAAACGAGGACAGATTATCCGTCGACATGACAGGCTAATTTAATCCGAGCGTCCCAAGCTCCTTTCTAACGGTATCGAAAAGTCTTAATATGGCGTAGAAAGTGTATTCCACAAACAAGGTTCCATACAGGAGACTGCTTATTTGTAGGGTTAGGGAACAACATTTTGAATTATGTGAACTTGATAGTTGAGGATGACTTTAAATATTGACCAGTTGAATTAGACTCACAAAATAATTTCTTTAGGACATTTGATGAATATCCTAATAACCGTTCTGATTTTTCTACTGGTTAGCGTTTTTTAGCGAGTAAGATTTCTACGGGATTGGGTCGCGAACCTTATGCCCACCCCTACTGTTCTATCCGGTCTTGGGACCGGCAGTATCCCCAGCGGAGTTGCGACATTCCATGTCGTCTTAATAGTTGTCTATACAAACTACTTGTGTGTTATATAGGGCACATTAGAAAACTCAAGGGTTCTCTTTAAAGTTGTCTTTAAGTTTGCATCTAACACTTAAGGATTAAGTTTGTTTGATGTTCCCATCTGGTTCTGATAACTCCAGGTTAGATCTACATTGTAACTGAAACACCAGAGAAAAGGCTCAAAGCACGAGAAGAATGTTCTACTCCAGGATTAGATTTGATACAGAAGAATAAGGGTGTTTATGCGGTTTCTCATGAACTTTGGGTTTATGGAAATTCTGGAAACCATACTAAGTTTAGCAGGGGTGTATAGGTAAATATGCAGTAATAATTGTGGTAGATGATTGTGCCATTTTCAGATGCTTCTGTGGTAGTTCTATTCAATTTTGACTGAATTTAACGTTTCCCATTGTTTAACAGCCTCTACAGACTTTAGGTGGGGGGATATTTTGAGGCTCTCCAACTAAAATGACGAAAATCAGTCAACCTAGGAATGAATGTGTGTTCTCTTTGATAATTTCGAATAAATGTTATAATGCTTTTTTAGAAGCCTAGTTAATTGAGCTTTTCAATGAGTTAAGTAGATCCCGAATAATTCAGAATTATGAATCAATTTCAATAAATTACAACCTAACTCCAGGTAAATATGAATTTGTTTTAGTAACACCAACGGCTGAAAACTTTCAACTCAGATGTAGACAACAAATCCGATAATCTATTTACATATCAGCGTTTACGAATCTCAGGCCTCCAACTCACATTTTTGATTCTATTCTATTCTGTTTTTGGTTGTGAATGTAGTGCCTCCACATATATTCGAGTTCGCTTACATCTAATTTGGTCAAGCCCTTTCGATTAATTTATTTAGCCAAACCATTTGTATTGCAACATTTTATATGTACCATTCGTTCTCATAATTGTCTGGTTAGTATGAGCTCACATGACGTGTCCCACTTGTCATTTGACCTCGTCAACTACTCGCTTGTCACATGTCTGTCTTATATTTGTCTGACTATATATTCTTAGTCACGCTCCATCTCTTTGAGTTGGCTCATTAGCCTTCTCCAATTCATGTCGGTTCATTCCTTTTATTCACTGCTTCTCCGCTTCGCTTTGTGGTGTGTCCAAAAATAAACCTATTCAACACTACGAGTTCACCTTCTGATTTACAAACCGCCAAACGCTAGTTAGTAGCGATTGTTTGAACGAGCTAATCACGAACCTTAAGAACGCGCTTAAATGGACCCACTACAGGGACTTGATGTTTTTGTCATAAGATCATTGTACTAAGTCTATAAAGAATAACAATAAATGCTTCATTTATTTACTGTCCGTTATCGTAGCCAAAAACACCTGATTTCCTTGTGAAGAACACTAAAACAGAAATTTTGCTGTCAACAAACTGTTAGATTTCATTTCACTCAGTCTTTTTACATAGTTAATGATTAAGTTACTCATCAATCTGAACATGTGAATATGTGGTAAGCTGATTACTGCCGAATGGTTCAAAAATTAAACTGTGAGATGTAAATGATGTCAAATAAGAATTATTAGCATTTTGTGTCGATCGACAACCACGTTTCACGTCTGAAATCATCCTTACAAATTGTCCGTTATGTCATTTTCACAGGCACAATCAATTATTTAGAATAAAAGCTTTGTGATATAATTTTATCTTAGTGGAGTTGTTATTAAGGTGACATCACTGAATCAAGAATAGTTTCTGATGGTGTTTCGTTCTCTGAGCTGGATGGTTTGGTTTGTGGTGCTTTCATGGTTATTCAAAACAACATCCTCAGAAGAAATATGAAAGCTGCACAAGCGAAACATCTAGTTCAGAGAACGAAACTCCATCACGATTATCCACCTGAGCTACAAAGTCTCTCGACCATCTTAAGAATAGTTTGGAGCGCGAAATTCAATTATGTATTTCTGTAATGGAATTGTTTTATGTGTTTATAGTTGTTATGAAACTGCAAACAAAGAGCGACCGTCTCTTACAAACTGTGACTTTGACAGATATATGCATAAGAACCAGGTTGAAGTTCCATAGATGGGTAATTTTATTGTCGTACCGAATGACTGCTGAGAATAAAAATATCAGCTGGATAAACGACAATAATTGGTCGATAATCATATACAAACAATAGGAAGTAACATGACATGCCTGGTCTGTTGGTAAAATTCGTAGTCATTAGGATGGATTTTAAAGAGCTATGAGATGGAATAGTGAAAAAGCTGAAGAGTCTGGAAGGTTGTTTGTTTAACTCCACAATATTACGGAAGTAAAGTATGGGGAAAAACCCATAAAGTCATAATTATTATATTCCTTTATTTTTGATACTTCTTCTGTCTTAGTCATACCTCATAGGTCTACATTAGTCATGTGTTTACATATGGATCCTCAGTTAAACTTAAAATACGTAGCTTTGTTTTAAAAAACATGATTTACACAAGTACACACATACATGGTCAGAAACAGCATTTGTAGATAGTGGATGATACATGTTTTAGTCGCAGCTCGCAAATAATCAGAAATAAAAATATACTAACTGTATTAATGTCCTTTAATAACAATAGTACAGATAAAAAGTTTGTGGGGATAAGTATGTCTTATTAAAAGTGATTGATCGAAAATGAACCTATTGTTAATCATGACAATAAATAATTTGCTATATGATAATTAAACAAACCAAAAGTAAGTAATTACATATTCAATACGTGGACAAAACAAGACAACTGTTGTTGATAATGATTCAAATTGATTGTTATTTGTTTATCTAAGATAGGACACAAAATTATGAGAGGGTTTACATTTGTTGATTAATTTTGTATTGCTCGTTGTAATCGGAAGTTCAGGTTTTACGTCTAAAACTGTATTTTCTTGTTCCGGAAGGCAGCCTTTACTCTACCTATCGAGACTGTCTCTGGTTTTCCATTCTTATCGACTATGAGTTGTCTGATCGTTCGCTTCATAACTCTGTAATGTCCTCCATATGGTAGTTTTAATATTTTCCTCACTGAATATTCATAGACAATGAGGAATTTCATCTCTTAAAACGTTTATCAAGCTCTATATTAATTATGCTTGTGTGCAGTTCATAATTTTATTTGTTGTTTAGTCTGTAGCATCTGACAAAACGTGTTTCACTAAATGGCATTTTATCATAAGAGTTGGCCAGTTATCTATGCAGGTTCAAAGTTATGCCCCGAACTCGCTTAGTTGGTTCGGACCGGATATCTTACTTGAAAGTTTAACAGAACCTGAGGAGAATAAGTGGTAAAGCCGTCATTCTCTATTGTCTATTCATCCTGAAACAAATGTTATTTCGAAGTTCGAAACTTGACTGGTAGACCATCCTTTTCGAATGGTTTGTTAAAATCTATAAGGTTGACATGCACGCTCCTTATCTTGGACTGTTTTCGAATGCTCTCTCTCTCGGTTAGGAAGTTATTTATTCGGAAATCCATATTTTTCGGGGCGAGATGGGGCATACACATTTTGTACTGTATTTGTCTGAAAATTAATGAACGGTACTACGTATCATTTGCTAGTGGGAGAAGTACAGCATGCCGATAATGTAATCAATCAGGTGTGTAAAGGCAGAGTACAGTAGTGATTTCACTTATACTCAGACAAACACGATTGGTCAAATAATAACATTCATTGATTTAACCAATGCAACCAATGAACGTTTTAACAAAGATTTCTTGATTTGTACTTTTGTTTTATTCACTGACCTTTGTAATTTTTACGGTTGCGCGCTTCTGCTCATTCCAAAAGCAATCTTTCCTTCCGTGCCCCGTACCTTCGCTCAATTCTCTGGCCTGTTTTGGTATTCTTTCGATACAGTAAATACACTGTGGTGTTTGAATGAACTAGTGACTTCTTGGTTGTTGTTGAATGCTTGATTTCGAATTCTAAATACAGTACATTCGTTCGTGCTTATCCCGTAGTTCTTGATTCACATACTTCTAATAATCATACTGGCGTCGCGATGGAGCTTGTAATGGAACAGTTAGATATACATTCTACTTCTGAAGCTTTTGAAGATTATTTGGAAAGGTTTGAAATCTGGAGTATGACCAAGAAAGATGTCAAAGATGATAAAATTGTGGCTCATTTCCTGACATTCATCGGAAAAGAAGCGTACAGCTTATTAAAAACTTTGGCATATCCAGAAAAACCTATCTCACTTCCCTATGCAATGCTTAAGGAGTTATTATTGAATCATGTAAAGTGCCCTAGTTTTGAATGCAGTGAAAGAGCGAAATTTCATAAGATGATTCGTTAAAATGAACAAAAGGTTAAGGAATTCATTGCAGAAACAAGCTGTCAAATGTAATTTCGTTGATCAACTTCATGTGCAGCTGAGAGAACGATTATTTGCAGGAATTAACATACCTAGTTTGGAAAGAGAGCTGTTAAGAATGTCAAACTGTTTCTTTCAAGATGTTAGAACTGCGTTCATTAACTACGAGGCGTTGAATGAACTTGATATTCAGTCGATGAAGATTTCCAATACTTTGATAAGTTGTGATGATGAAAAACAATCTCAGGGTCAATCAAAATTGTGTTCGTTTAACAGTGGTTCCTATTCTCGTATAAATATGAACGGCGTTTCAATAAAGAATTACAAAGGAAATCACAAAGGTGAAACCAAGTTTGGTAAATGTTTATTATGTGGAAAACTTCATTCTCGTGAGTCATGTGCATTTCGTAATGCTAAATGTTTTAGATGTGGTAAGATAGGACACATTCAAACAGTATGCAAAGCTACTGTTCATTTTGCCTCAAGTAGTACTAAATCTTGTAATTTAGATCCCAATAATTCAGCTGATCCTAATGATCATTTATCTTTGACTACCATTTCGAAAGGTAATGCTCATATTCAAAAGCGATTATATACATCATTTGGTTCATGTCATGACTTTATTGTGGACACAGGCAGTATAGAGTCCATTATTTCATTCAAGAACATGAAATCGCTAGATCCTAACGTTGTGGTACGACCCACTGAAGTATCAATATTGGGGATTACTGGACACAGACTGCCTATACGAGGATGTTGTGAATTGCTAATAAGAGATAATAATTCCTCATACATACCTTGTGAATTTTTAGTTAGCGAAACAGGACTGTCAATATTGGGTTTAAAGAATTTGAAAAGACTTAAAGTGGAGTTATCTTTCCTAGTTTCTAAAGAAAATTCTGATGCTTTACTTAAAGATTTGATAGCCACGCGTGCTAAGTGCAGTGGAGGTATGAAAATTCAGCCTATAAAACTTCAAGTACAGGGTGATCCAGTCTTTCTCAAAAGACGAATAATTCCTTATGGTCTTCGAGATGCAGTGCATAAGACATTGAATGATTTGTTTGCAAAAGGCATAATTGAACAGGTTCAGTCTTCTGCATGGGGTACTCCTATTGTTACGCGACTGGAATCGGATGGCAAGACTCCTAGAATATGTGGTGACTATAGACTAACATTGAACTCCCTTTTGTTGAAGCAAACATGCACGACGGTAGAGGCTGAAGATATCCTAAATCGACGTCATGGTTCTAAAGTGTTCTCGAAATTTGACCTAAAAGATGCTTATCTTCAAATCCCTTTAGATCAATCCTCATCTATTTTGACGACAATTAATACTCCTTTTGGTTTGTTCAAGTACAATTTCCTTCCATTTGGCTAAGTTGTTCTCCAGCCATATTTCAGGAAGTTATGAATAAGGTGGTTAGTGATCTTGAAGGTGTTGAAGTTTATTAAGTTGATCTGATTGTTCACGGTGCTGATAAGGGAGTTCATGACCAGAGACTTATTGCCTTATTGCGTCGTTTAATTGAGAAGAATATTACAGTAAATCCAAATAAGTGTTCATTTTGTGTATCTAGTTTTGAATGTCTTGGATACCTAGTTGATGGTAATGGTTTTAGACCAGAGGAGGAGGAGGAGGGGTGAGGAACAAGAGTCATGCTTACGTAGTCTACTAAAGTTTCTTCAAAGTGATGCTGTTCTTCGAACTTACTCCTCTAGTGTACAGTCTGTGCTTATCACTGAAACGTAGATTCCCTATCTATTTTTCAAAGCGGGATGAGCTATCCACTACTCCTGATGGTATTTTGTGTTTAAATGATCGTGTTGTTACTCCTCTTTCATTGCACAAGGCTGTCCAGGAATATCTTCATAGTGGACATTTAGGTGTTGAGAAAATGAAGTCCTTGGCGAGACTCACGTGTTGGTGGCCAGAGATAAATGCAGATATTTGTCGTACAGCAAACAATTGCGAAAAGTGTGGATTGATTCCTTTGCCGCCTCAACATTTAATGAGCTGGAGAGGAGAGTAGATACCTTGCTACCTTGCTACTGCAATATAGAAATGCCAGACATCCGGTGACGAAAGAGACTCCATCAAAGCTATTAAAAGGAAGAATTCTTCGGTCGAATATGAGATGTTATAGAGTCTGCAGAAGTTACATATTATCGTGGCAACGATCTTAGACCATCCACGGGGATTGTTCTGAAGAACGTCGGGAAATCTATGGTGCGACTTCTAGACATCAATGACTTAAGTACACACAATCGACATATTGATCAAATACAATTCCAGGAACCAGGTGAGTCTGTTTTAATTTCGGTTGTTAATTCTAATACTAATGAGAGCATTCTAGATAATACAGAGTCTTTATCTAATACACTGTTGGACCGACACAGGATGAACTTGAGAAGAAGACGTACAATTGATTACAGACACTTGGATTCCGATTTAAGCTGTGGCGGATGTGGTGTTTGAATGAACTAGTGACTTCTTGTTGTTGTTGAATGCTTGATTTCGAATTCCAAATACTGTACATTCGTTTGTGCTCATCTCGTAGTTCTTGATCCCTAAATACAAATACTTCTACTTATCATAATTTTATAAGTGCACATTTAATAATAGCTAGCATGAAACTGCCCTTAAAACATACACTTGTAGTTGCAAGTTCCGTCCGACAAACGGGTAGCTTAAAAAATCTCAAATCTCGAAGTACTTATATGGCTTGGGATAAAGTTATCAGGCAAACGACATGGACGACGATTTGTCCGTCCAATTATCACCAACACTGGTCCAGACTTCATTGTACATGTTGCCTCACCTGTTCCACCGTCATGTGCTTATGATATACTAGATCATACATTCGTTAGATTTTTAGAATGTCATATTGGGTTTCTACTTGTGCGGCTTATAATTCTATGACTTCCACTACTAATCTCTCTGGCACTGACTTGATCCACGACGAACAGCCTTTCTATTACAGAAGTTAGGTGGGAACCAAATTCAACTATCAGAAAAACATAGCTAAGAATTTTTATTTCTAGGACTGCCCTTTCTGTGATAAACACTCCAGGTGTTTTGAGAATCACTAAACTTACCCAAACAGGTCTGGGAAGCATTGGTTTTGAAGATGTGAATACCCCATGACCCTATATCTTAAGGTCTGTTCCACCATTTTGTCTTCGAAATCTCAAACCAATAATAATTTTATTCTACTTCATTTGACGCTCATTTGAAAAATCATGTCTGATGCAAGTTTTTAAATGTGTAATAAAATGGTTTGTTGAAAAGTGATGATTGAAAGGCGCTTGCTTCAGATTGTGACCTCGAGGGAACCTAACGTTAGGTGTATCTGGCATAGGCAGAAGTTCTATGCTTGTTTGCTGCTGGTAAGTTACAGAAAAAAAGGATTGTCAAGAAAATCGGACATTAGACAACAGCAATGTTCAACCATTCTCAATGGTGCTCACGAAAGGATAGTAAATCAGTAGATAAAACATACCAAATGCTAAGACTAAAATGACTGCTAGTTTGATGATCTTCAAATTAAGGAGTAAGAAAGTAAAAACAATGAGTTGTGACATGTATCTGGGTGGATAGAGTTCTAGTAATGGAAGAGAAGCTGTTGAACTTCGAAGGCTATTCATTATAGGTGCAACCAGGGGAGTAAAGCTTGTGGCAACGTTGATCACTATATTGTTTACGATCTGTGTTTTTTTATGAAACTCTGATCTATGGGTTATACCATTAGAAATTGAGTAAGGATGTTGTTGGTTATCCTGATAAGATCTCACTCCCAGCATAAAATTTGAAACATTGATTCAAAGAATAACAAGCATATGAGAAGAAACTCAGTGTCACTGATTAGTCTGTCACCTTGTTCTCAATCGTTTTAAGGCTGAATCAAGCAAGATATTTCTCATTACAAACATGTGCGGATTGAAATCAACTCCTCCACCATTAATTTTTCCTGGTTTCTAACTCTAACTTTCCTCCTTTGTAATGGTGATTAATCCACTTAGCATGATATCTATAATTCTCGCCACCTAAGTAGATCACTGACTATTTGGTTACTAAACTCTACCTAAGAGGATTCACAAGATAAAACACAAAAAGGTTCAGATCGATTTCCGTGGGAATGGTTTATGATCAAAATTATTGAACTGTAAACTCCTTTCCAGAAGTGATTATGACAGTGTCTGCAAATCTTCAAAAAAGAGCTAGATATTATCGTGAGTTACGTAAACGAAGATTGAATATTGTTGATGTTACTCCGTAATGAAATCTATTGCCAGTTTTATACTTGCTGTATCCTTCATTTTTAGAGGATGTGTAGCATGTGTCATACCTCTATGATCAATACTTCTTGTTTGTCATCATAAAGTAGACCTGAGAGAGTAAAATACTCACTAATTCTGCAAAGCTCTATGAGCACATTTTACACAGCGTTACCTTCGTGTACCTGTTAATTTTATTTTCACTAAGATTTGTATAGAATGGGTATGTTGTGACGGATTTTCGAAGTTCTCTAACGCGGAGGCAAGAAGTATTGTGTTGAGCTGCTATCGATTGTTAAACGGGACTAGCGTTTGTGTGAACGTGGTTATTGTAACGTTTGATTACTTTGTATACATAAAATACCTTTTGGTCGGACTCTGTCTTTCTAATTGTCTGTATGTTAGGAAGAAAGCCTGTTAAAATATAATGATAATAATAATAATATATATGTACATTCTGTCTTACGCTTTTTGTTATCAGTGTATATGTTACAGTTACTCTTTGTACTCTACAGATTGAGCAGTCGACTAGTCTATTTGTAATGGAGGTCCTGTTTAACACACAACACAAGTAAACTATAAAGCATAATTCTCGTTGGTTCTCTATGTTTTGTCTCTCAAGGCGGGATGTACATTCATACTAGGTGTCATCTGTTGTAGCTTGGTCCCAAGCACCAATTGTGCTTCTGACTATAAGATCACCTTAAGCAATCTACTTGATCTTAGTCAACCTTCCCTTCAATGCTATTATATTTTAGTAGCAGTTCTTTGTATAAGCTGCACTTTCGTTACCTGGTAATATGATATGTATATATATATATATATATATATATATATATATATATAGGTATACCGACCTTTCCTAAACCTCCATCTCCGATTTCAGGACCAGGACAGTTAAATTATAAACGGAAATATCCACAGGTCAAAGCATCTTGATTCAGTATGTTTGCAATCCGAAATAATACTATGATTAACATGTCTGTGATAATAAACACCCAACAGATATAGAAGAAAAGTTCCTATAATTTTATAGAAAAGTTGAACACTTGCAGCGATTTATACTATTCAGTGTCTGAAGTATCTTAATACATAGTCAGTATAATTATTTACTTTAGATCAATGTTGAATCTTAACGCTTCAGTTTTGAAGATCTGTCATAGCATCAATAGGCAAAACACATTTTATTATTGTGTTTCTTCATATTGAAAATTAGCTTAGGCTTATTCCATTTTTAGTAATGTATAACTTCTTGTTAATCAAATAGAACTTACAAATGAACAGAAATTAAAATTTAATTACTTTTTTTTTGTTGTTTAGATAATATGTCATCTGAAATGCGACTAGATATCAGAGATGATAAATCTGATGTTGGACAAGGTGCATTTGATATAATCAAAACTCTCCTTATTGAGTCAACTAAAAATAATCAAACTGTTACAATTGGTTTATCTGGTAATTTAATCTTGTTAAGTTAACTAACTACCTCTCTTATTTTTTCTTTTACCAAGGTGGAAGTATGCCTCATTTGCTTGCACCATATCTTTGTTCTCTATCAGATATCAATTGGGAATTAGTTCATTTTTTTTATTGTGATGAACGTTTAGTCCCATTAGATAGTGAAGATTCTAATCATTATAGTTATCAAGAATTATTCTATTCGAAAATTAACATTCCATCATCAAATATTCATACTGTGAATACAACGCTATCATGTAGATAATTTGTTTCTTTTTTTGAAAAAAAAAATTTGTAGTAGAAGATGCTGCAGTGGATTATCAAAAACAACTGTTAGAATTCTTTGGAACAGCTAATGGTTATCCACGTTTTAATCTATTACTTCTTGGTATGGGTCCAGATGGTCATACATGTTCTTTATTTCCTAATCATAAAGTACTTTATGTAAGTTAATATTTTTCTTTTACTAATTGGTTTAAACATCAATCATTTGTGTTTTTACTTTACTGAAACACTAATGCTTTATAAGTCATCACTTTTCGTAACTTCACAAACTAATTGAAATAACAAAAGTAATATAGTTACATAAAGTCATTCAAAAAAAGCTTTTTAGGGAAATCAGTGAGTAAACTATCTGTTGGGGTATTCATCCAATATCCTAAGAGAGAGAATTCCTATTGGTTAATTTCTACTGGTCAATTTTATGTTATTCTGATTATCAATGTCACATGCTCCAATGTTGTTTCTTATTGGTCGTCCTGATTATCAGTGTTGGTCGCCTAAACTGTCAATGTTACAGACTTCGATGCTGTTTCCTATTCTACCTAAATGTATAAATACGCATTATCTGTAACGTTTTATGACCCGGACCCGGATCCTTAGTCCGGGATCCTGATTCTCTTCTGGACTCGGACCTCGTACTTTCTGGATGCTTGTAGAATACACGTTCTACTTCATATCAAGTCTTCTTCTTTTATTCAATTGGGGGGGGGGGTTAGGACACTCGGATTAGAGTAGCTTGTCGTGTCGCCGGATCCTCGCTATCGTTTCCCGACTAAGGTGAACTCGTAATAGTTCAAGCATATCAAATGACGTGTTTACGTGCATGCGTAACACTAACATTATCATTATTATTACTATTATTATTATTATTCTAAATTATCACACTGCCTTATGATGAGGGGGATACAGTGCAAGAGAAATAACATTCTTCAGTAGAAAAATCAATTAGTCGAAAATAAGAACGTTATTATGAAGAACATTGAGAAAGGATGGACGTAAAGTACTCTCGAATCTACACTGATTTTGAATAATGAGACTCTTAGCATTAGTATTATCAGTTTAGATGTATCCAATCTTTGTTTTCGTTCAAATTCTTATCTAAATTCATCGTGACTTTTTTTCCCTTTTTACATTTACCTTACTGGATTATACCTTTCAAATAATATCTTCGAGCCTTCAGTCAGATAGAATATAGAACTTGGTACGTACGTACACCGCTTCAAGTTGCCATATTGCATTTGCACACAGTGATCGAATTGTCAGTCCAAATCTCATAGTATTAGAGATAGTAGAAGTATTAGCAGTAACGAAAAAGATTTGAGGTCGAAGATATTATTCGAGGAGTATATCCTAGAGGAATCAATTTAAAAAAAACGGTTATACAGGAATTTAGAAGATTAGGGTTGGAAACAAGACAAAGAATCGATGCGTCTGCGCCATCTCGAACGATTGTCAGCCATATCATTCAAAGCATCTAACCATCGGTTACTATCATCTTGCGCACCCCGACCACGTAGTCGACACCTATCAACATGGCTCATGGGTTTCTGCTATTTTTCGGTCTGGGCACCTCTAGCTTTCTTCCAGACTAACTCTACACCAGTCATCATCACCCACCGAGGCAGTTGCTAATTTGGCATTCTTAATATATGTCTCAACCACTTTGAGCCCTAATCTTCTCTTTTATCTGTAATATCTCTACTTCCTCTACTATTGGGATTCGAAGTGACAATGCAGTCTCTGTGTGCTAATGTTGTGGTATGGCAACTTCAATTGATGTACGTACGTACGAAGTTCTACATTGTAGCTGACCCACTATCAGCTAAGATTAGTGTCACCAAAGTATCTGTGGATCTTATATTTTAATATTGTTTATCATTTCATTTTCAACGAGTTTACCGGTCCTTTCGTCATATTTAGTTGTGTATCACTGTTGATACTAGTATTTCATCTCTTTCGCCTTTAATCTTGACAATTTAATTTCCTCTTTCTGATATGCAATAAAGCAACTGTAAACAATACATGTTAAGCTCCATTCATACGTTAGATTTAACTGACTAAGACCATACAAATACAACAACATTTGCTATTCTATCTTAAAGTGATAGATTTTCCCATTCAATGAAGTGTTGGCTTGTTAAAGCGATCAGTAGATCCATGGTTCGGGCAACATTTCAACCTAATTTGTTTTGGATAGATAGGTAAGTATCATTTAATCCCCTCAGTCGGAAAAGTGTAGTTGAAAGCTGACTAGTCAAACTTTTCATTAGTAAATGATTCACATTTAATTGAATAGTGTTGGTCTTAACTAATACTATTATATACTGATATTTATCAATAAATCAGTAAGCTGTTTTTCTCGATATTTATGAATATCGCTTGTAAATTTTTTACTTTTGTAATAGTATGAAGATTTTGTGATTGCCCCGATTTCTGACAGTCCAAAACCGCCACCACAAAGAGTTACTTTAACTGTGCCTGTAATTAATAAAGCAGAAAAAGTTGTATTCATGGTCACTGGATCAGATAAAGCAAATGCATTAAAGGTAAGCATATATCGTTATCATTATTTATGACTTGTCAGTGTGATAAGTTTACATATTGACTACTCAATCTGATGTTCTAGTCGCTCCTATTGACCAATCCCTAATCTTCCATATAACTGCTAATACTTCTATTATTGCTATCACTCTTGGATTTGAACTGACAGTTGCGTCTGTGTGCTGATGGGGCATGGCAACCTGAACTGATGTACGTACGTACGGAGTTCTGCGTTGTATCTGTCTATCCTTAGACTAAATCTAAATGACAATATGAGCATAGAAGAATAGATCTACTTACTTACGTCTGTTACTCCTAATGTGGAGTATAAGCTTTCGACCAACATTCCTCAACCAACTTTGTCCTGGGTCAAAGATACAGTGTAAGATCCAAAGGCCTAGAGAGTGGTGATAAGAATTTGCTTGACTCATGAAGTATATTGAAATTGATAAAGGAATATATACCGTTTTTCATATGATTTATTTTACAGTTAGATTAACAGTCAAATTTTTAAAAATTGAGCTAAATTGTTTTTAATCAATAATAACGATACTAGTACCTCTTTCAATATACGTCACATACACGCAATTGGAAAAAATCAATTTCACATGTATTTTGCACTGTGATCAGTTGAACCATTGCTCGTCATATTACTTACATACTTGCTTACTTACACCTGTTACTCCTAATGGAGCATATGCCGCCGATTTGCGAATTATTTTTCCGCTTAGTTAGTGTTCTAGCGAGTTGGATTTCCACGGTATAGGGTCACTAACCACATGCCCAACCCTCCTCTTTTGTCCGGGCTTGGGACCGGCAATAACCCTAAAAGAGCTCCAGGAGGATTTATTGCTCGTCATATCCTACTTTCTATTCGTTTTGAAAAAAAACTGATGAATGATTGACCTAATCCATTTCGTTGAGTTCTAGAGCCGCAAGACTTAAAACGTAATAAATTCAAAAAATTGTTCACATAGATATTTTTAAGAAGTCAAAGTTTCTGTTTACACGTCTGCGGACAGACATTGAAAAAAGTTTTTCTCGGTCAAATTGAAGTTATCCTAAAACATTTATTAATTCGGAAATGTTATCCCCGTATTTACAAGGCTTTTCCATCGTCAACATAAATCTGGAGTGCGTTATCTTTAAGGTAAATCTTTTCTAACCTGTTTTAGTTGCTCGAAAGCAGTGTCACTGTAAACGCCAATTGCGTAAAGGAAACACCTGTTTCATTCTTATACATTTAACAGTATGACTTTGGTCTCGAACCATAAGTTCGCTGCTTTTAATCTTGTTATCCTGCTAACATACTGTCTGTCATAGTAGGAGGACCTAGAGAACGAATGTTTCAGCCAATTTAGCTCAACTGGCTGATCACAGTAAATAAGCCGGACTACTAGTTTGAGATAACAGCTACAACTTGGCAAGAATATGTTTCGCGGTTAAACATTTATTCATTGGTTCCCTTCATTCAATTTGGACGAACCAAAGACAAAAGTATTTCGTTGCTTTCTCTTTTTAACCGACACGTAAACGAACCAACAGTAACTGATAGTTAAAAACTTTGGATGATGTGGCTCAAAATCGGTTGTCGATCGCGGAGATGCATCCATTCTTTGTCCTCTCGCATAACCTCATGAGCTCAGGGCTCTCTTTTTCTCTATTTAAATTTATTTCACTGGTTTATACTTGTTGAATAACTTCTTTTAGTTACGAGAAAGCAGTGTCGCTGTAAATGCTGATTGTTTGAAGGAAACACCTGTCTCATTTCTTATACACTTGATATTGTGACTTAGGTATCGAACAGTAAGTTCACTGGTTCTAATCTTGCCATCCTGTTAACACGCTGCCCGTCATAGTAGGGGTAGGCTGGAAGAAAAGTAGGGACGGTCAAACCAAAACATGGCACAAATCCCTACAATCACTGACAAGTGGATTGAGCCATATCGGTAGGTGTCGACTATCTGGTTGAATTCCTCTGACATGACAGTAACTGATGGTTAGCGACTTAGAATGACATGACTTAAAACTGTTTGTAATGGCACAGATGCATCCACTGTTTGTGTTTTCTGAAATTCTAATCTTCTGAATTCCTCATCACCTTTACTTTTCTCTTTTTAAATTTATCTCACTGAATTATACTTCTCAAATTATATCTTCACTCCCTAATCTTCTTCATTACTGCTTATACTTCTACTACCTCTGGTACTATGGGATTCGAATTGACAATTCGATCTCTGTGTTCTAATGTGGCATGGCAACTTGAACTAATGTACGTACGTACGTACAAAGTTCTACAATGTAGCAGACTAACTGACTGACTGACAGTTCAAAGTTGAAGTTTTCAAAAAAGCAAGTATTTTTATAATTACTTGCGATAATAGTTTTAATATAATAAAATGATACCATTGTACGTGATCTAACAAAAATGTTCAAAAAAGTTCAATAATAATAAGAAAAAACGGCATGACGTGTAGGTTGAACTCATTGGATTGTGATTACAATTAGGTTACCCAAAATAGGTGAAGGTGAATTGCGCGTACATTGTGAATTTTAATAAGTTGAAAAGATCTTGGTTTGTCCGAAAGTGAGGAGAGTCCACACACTCTCTCTCTCCAAATGCTGTCACATAGCTACGTGTGTGTGTAGCCACTACCATGCAAGTTCCATTCATTTCCACCTCCTCACGGTATGAGTTTTATTTACGAATGTGAGGTGACGAAAAGTAAAATATCGACGCTTAAATGTGTAGGTAGGTAGTGTATGAATTTTCCATCTGAAGGAGTTTGAGATTCCTAATCCCAAACGAATAGTGCACATCAGTTCCAGAATCCTAAGGGAAAAAATAGTGTATGAACCTATTGTTGGTCATCAGCTACCATGGGACAGCATCTTTTGACGTTGCTCCATCACCTTATGGATTAAACCTGTATGGGGCTTCTTATAAAAGCCATCTACTTTGGATGGTATACTAGCCCACTCTTAATTTCCATAATTTGTATGGCGCATAAATATTTAGGTCCATGTTTATGGCAGTGATTTTGTGTTTAGATAAAATAAGCAAATGAACTGATCATATCCACATTGTTGTAGTACTTCGAATCTGACAGGTGATACATGGCATTAAACTACCTAGGTGATTTTCTTCTCAAAGGTGAACCTTTTTTTTCAAATACATTAATGAGCAATAGCTTCATCCGTTTATCGTTCCAATGTAGATAATTTTGTACATACACGTAAATTATTTGTAGGTATTCAAAGTATCATGTGACAAATGTTTCATTGACTTGTAAACGTGTTATCAGTCACAATGTTGTATATAATAGAACCAACATCTGTACTGAAAGGAATAGTTTTATAGTTACATCTAGTGTATACAATTGAAAAGAAACTGTATTTGGTTTCTTATTAATGCCGTCTCACGAAAGGGGTTTGTCTAAGTTTAATATACGGAAATAGAATGGAAGATTTATTTCATCGGATACAGTCAGTCAGCTACAACGTAGAACTTCGTACGTACGTACGTACGTACGTACGCACATCAGTTCAAGTTGTCATACCACATTAGCACACAGAGATCGAATTGTCAATTCAGATTCCATAGTAATAGAAGTCGTAGAAGTATTAGTGGTAATGGAAAAGATTAGGGTTCGAAAATATTAATCAGGAAGAATAATCTAGTGAAATAAATTTTTAAAAAAGGGAACAAAGATGTTGAAGAATTAAGAAGATTGGAATTTGATACAGGACAAAGAGTGGGGATGCACCTGCACCACCGTAAGTGATGTTAGCCATGTCATTCAATCTCTCTAACCATCGTATCGCGGATCCCAACCTCTAAAGTTAATCACTTCCGATAACAGTTCGCCATGAGCTCTGCCTCGATCAGTAGTATTTGAGTGGACAGCTTGTATAAAATCAATTTACTTCTATGGTACTGGTTTCAGTAACAAACACTACCATAGAACCCCACGATCAACAGAGTCAAATCCTGCCTTAAGGTTGAGAAATACGGCTAATCTCAGACGCCGAAGCGTGTGCTTGTGTTCTTGAACTTATCGAAGTATAAATATCTGGTCTAAACAGTCACATCCAGTTCTGAAATGAGTCTGGTTTTCTTAAAGTCTGCTCTTCATAGGCTCTAGTTAGGCGTCAAAGTATTATCAAGGTTAACATTTTAAACACTACATTAGTGAGAATGATTCCTTTGTGATTATCGAAAGAGGACTTTGGTCCGTTTTTTACAGACCGATACTTAATCGATTGTTCGTCCAAATTGGAGTCAAATCTCTGGCCTTTATAATTGTTTAAATTTATATCAATTACATGTTCTCATGTCATCCGTACAAATTGGACCAGTAGATTTGTATATTTTTTTAAAAAACCACTGGGAGCCCCCGAGATTAAAGTCATCAGTGGTTAGAGACCTTGAATGACATGGCTCAAAATCGTTTGCACTGACGCAGGTGCATCCACTCTTTGTATTCTCTCTAATTCTAATCTCTTCTGAATTCCTCATAATCTCTATCTTTCTCCTTCTAAATTTATCTCACTGAATTGTACTTTTCGAATCATATCTTCGATCCATAATCTTCTCCATTACTGCTAATATTTCTACTATCGCTACCACTATTGGATTTGAACTGACAGTTGCGTCACTGTGTGCTAATGTGTTATGGCAACCTGAACTGATGTACGTACATACGTACGACGTTCTGCATTGTATCTGTCTGTCTGTCTGTCTGTCTATAAAATAATCTATAGTTTTCAATAGTTTGTTTATTTATTCACTCCAGGGATACCATGTGAAACCAAATAGTTCAATTACATTTGAATTATACATTTATATCACCTTAGTTCACCTTTCTGTCTTTCAGTTCTGGTCTACATTCTGATGTTGTTCTGTTTTTTTTTCTTTGAAAAAATCAATAAATTGTATGAATCAGTCAATCAACCAACCAATCAATCAATGCCTTATTCATTAATTAATTATTGCTTTCTTTGTCTTTCTCTCTTCATCATCTATCTAGTCAATTCATCAACCGCATAAACCTGGTCCTTCTATGCCATGTTCATTAATTCATCCAGTTTATGGTGAATTAATATGGATTGTAGATAAAGCGGCTGCTAGTTTATTAGAGACATAAAAATCAATATTATGATCATTATTATTATTGTATTTTATGCATTTTTTTTACTGTCTACTGTGTTGTTGAATTACATGTCAGTTAAATATTAACGTCCATGACGAATAATTGAAACAGAATAGTCATAATCATAATTAGAGATGAATTGATTTGTTGTTACGAAAATGCACGTAAACATGTCATGATACAAAGTACTTGGAATCAATAACGGAGTTACAGTGATTCTTCATTCATTGTCTGGCCAACAAATCCGAAGTATCTTACTGTTATGCATGCACGTAAACATGTCATTTTGATATGCTTAAACTATTACAAGTTCACCTTAGTTGGAAAACGAGAACGAGGATCCGGCGACACGATAGGCTACTTTAATTCGAGTGTCCCGAACCCCCATTGAATAAAAGAAGAAGACTAGTCTCGAAGAAGACATGGATCGGGGTCATAAAACGTTACAAATAATGCGTATTTATACATTTAGGTCGAATAGGAAACAGCGTCGAAGTCTGTAACATTGACAGTTTAGGTGACCAACAGGAAAAAACATTTAAAGTGACACTGATAATCAGGACGACCAATAAGAAACAACATTGGTGTACGTGACATTGATGCCTAGGACGACTATAATATTGACCAATAGAATTTACTCTTACAAAATGATTCTTCGTAGGATATTTGGTGAATATCCTAACATTTGTATTTTGTGATTTCTCATCATCAACTACTTAAAACTATGTAGGCCTAATAAAGTCTAACAATAAGGTGTGATATTATGATACGAAATACTTGGAATCGATAACGGAGTTACAATGGTGTTCATTCATGATTTCAATGTGTAAAAAAAACAATCTTCATAATACCATCTACAATGTTAGAAACTAAGTAATGTGCTCACTAATGCACTAAATTCGTGAAGAGATTATCGGAGTTCTATTAAGAAGATGTGACTAGTGGAGTCCAATCCTGTCAAGTGTAGGACGAAAATAATGAGTAAGGTTGCGTGAAAATCCTTAGATTAATCACAGTTTGACATGAACACCGTTGAATGCCGTCTCATTTGTCAAGAGTGTTCACACACAAGGCCGAAGCTCCTGGGTTCGAGTCTTGCGAGTAGCAGGAGTCGTGGATGCGCACTGTTGATGATCAGTTCTAATGGTGATCTAACAATGGTCGATTCATGATTTCGATGTTATATATATATATTAGGATAGAGTTCAGATAACAAGGAGGTGAAATAATGATTAGATGAAGTCCGGAAACAGATAAAATGGGTTATGTTGTAACTATAGAATTTCTGAAAAGATTATATAAGAATTTCCTAATTGGAGGGTTGCGTAATAAGTAGGCAAGATTGGATGAGGTTTATATAAGTTTAAAAAATTAAATAAGTGAAATGAATTGCTGCTCTCTTGAATAAACCAAAAATTAACAGATGTTTTATTCTACCCAATTGTTTCACTGTTCTTGAATATTAGTGATTAGTGGTTTATCTTCCTTATTCTTGACTAGGCGTCCACTGAATTTTCCATTCGGTTTAATGAAAATTTGCTGAAGACTTTTGCTAGTATGTAGAATAGAGTTATGCCTCTGTAGTTCTCACACTCGTTACAAATCTCCTTCAGGACATATCCAATAATCCGTTGATTTTATAAGTGGTTATTTACTTACGCCTGTTATCCTCAAAGAAGCATAGGCCACTGACTAGCATTCTCCAATTTATTCTGTTCTGGTGCACTAACTGACACAAATATATAACAGACATAATCCACAAATGAAATAATTCTCCACAATATGCTTTAATTATCCTCATTTCATTTCACATGCATTAATGTTTTATCTCATTTGGGAAATCACATATGTATCCTACAAATTCAATCGTAAGAAGTACACTACTATCAATAGGATTTAAGTAGTTTGAACACAACGAACATGTTTTTCGTAATATTACATCTTCATAGATGCTAGATTGAAAAAATTATAGAGAATTTTCACCGTAATTCTTCTGTTAGTCCAATTTTATCCAGATATACCAGAATTATTCGTATGGATTCAATTTTAAACTTCACATTTATCACGTACAAATTACTGTTTTTCACATAGACAACGTCATTATCTGAAGTCATCATCAATCAATCATTGTTATACCACCATTAGAAAGCTGGAAGCACTGAACGGCCGTTTCGTCCTGGTATGGGAATCAACAGCAGTGTGCATCCACGACTCCTGCACTCCATAGTATTCAAACCCGGAACCTTCGGTCTTGTGCGCGAACGCCTAACCATTTCGTGCGACCTCACCCCATTTGTCTTTGGTAGTTACTGCCTACACCCGACAGGGTTGAACTCCACTGGTCACGTGTTGTCACTACAACTCCGAGAATTTCCACACGAAGGTAGTTACTAGTGAGCACATATTACGATATTTTCAATTAGAGGTTTGGGACGATGATGATTTCAAATGTGTAAAAACATTAATCTCCATAACTCTAATTGAAAATAACGTCAGTATGATTGTGATGGAGTTAACCATAGAGCCTATCACTTGGTTTCGCTTCGACTTATGTTGGTGTTATTATACCCATATTGTAATTTCCTATATATCTATGTGTTTGGTCAAGAGATTGCTTTTTAGTGCCTCCACATATATTCCAGTTCGCTTACATTTTATTTGGTTAAGCCCTTTCAACTAATTTATTTAACCAAGCCATTTGTATTGCAACAATTTATGTATACCTTTCGTTCCTATTATTGTCTGGTTTGTATGAGCTCACATGACGTGTCTCACTTGTCATTTGACCTTGTCAGCCATTTGTCGTTTTTATTCATGTGTGTGCATGCCTATCTCGTTGGTCACTTGTCTGTCTTATTTTTGCCTGACTATATATTCTTAGTCATGCTCTATCTCTTTGAGTTGGCTCATTAGCCTTCTCCAACACGCTTCGTCTGTCCACATCGCTTCCATCGCCCATTCGTTCGCATTGTAATCCTAGGAGTTGGTTCAACAGCCTTCTCCAATTCACGTCACTTCATTCATTTTATTCACTGCTTCTCCGCTTCGCTTTGTGGTGTGTCCCAAATAAACGTATTCATCACTACGAATTCACCTTCTGATTCATAAACCGTCAGACGCCATTTAGTAGCGATTGCCTAAACGAGCTGATTACCGAGCTTAAGAACACGCCGCCGAAATCTACACACCACAGCTTCATACTGTTGTATTATTGAGTCACATAGAAACATTTACAAAAATGAGGTTTTTATTTGCTTGCTAATTTTGTCTTCTGACTAAACATTGAACAATTGGTGTCAATGTTTCAGTCGTTGTTCGTTAGTCATCATTAGAATAGATCATTAGTATGTAGTGATTTCACGATTGGTTAAATATAAACAGTTTTTATTATAAGCAGTAGTACCAATAAACATTTGTTTATTCGTACTTTTGTACCGACTTTGCTTGCAAGCGCTCTCCATCTTGTTCTCACTGCTGTGCACCTTTCGCCCATTTTCTCTGGCACCAATTTCGGTATTCTTTCGATACCATGAAATCCCCGGTAAATATACTTATTCATTTGGACTATTCCTTCTTCCTTGTGATTAATTCACGACGGGATAACGCCCAAGATCCGAACATAATTGGTTGGTGGACTTGTTCTCATAGTCATCCTCGACTCGAACTTCTACAAGTATTATAGACTTCAAGCACATTAATCAGTAATCGAATCATATCCTAATAACGACCAGATCACAACCGATCACAATATACTGCAACAGTCGGCTAATTTTTTGAGTAGATGACATGTTTTAGCAACCTGAAATTACTATAAAACAGCGATTGAATGTTTTGTGCTGATCAGTGTAACAACAGGATAGATTGTACACGTCTCAGTATTGACAAATGAACTGAAAGGTTTCAGCTGATACCTATCACATTATTACACAATGATCGATAATTTTTTCTTTAATTCAGAATAATTATTTTGATGATAATGTGATATACACAAAAGTCAAGATAAGATGAAATAACTGTGTAAAAAAATTTTGACAGAACAGTGAGAAGATACACATTTCCAACAATCTGATCACATGCATATATACTTACTTGTCGAGGCATTTTGATATGAAAATTACTAAAAGGTCAATTATAAATAAAAGTAATATAGAAAGAATAAGAAAGGATAGGAAAATTGTCACATTACCCTAAGCTTGAAGATTACCAGGGTAAATTCAAGGTTATGACAAATTGTTTCTGTATACATTAATGGGGGGGGGGTTCATTTCCAAATAGCCAAGGTTTTTGTGTTCTCTCAAGCTCCAACCTTCTGAATTCCTGATAATCTCCATCTTTCTCCTTCTAAATTTATATCACTGAATTATACTTCTCGAATCATATCTTCGCTCCCTAATCTTCTGCATTACTGCTAAAACTTCTACTGTCGCAATCACTCTTGGATTTGAACTGACAGTTGTGTCTCTGTGCTGATGTGGTATGGCAACCTGAACTGATGTACTTACATACGAAGTTCTGCGTTGTATCTGTCTGTCAGTCAGTCTGAATGGCCAACGCTTCCATAAACCTCAAAATTCATCCTCCAACGTTTCTACACAATGTTTTGAAGGCTGTCTTGATGTCAATCTTATGCACTGCCTCATTTATGTGTTTCGCAATCGATGAACATAATTTTCTGTTTCCCATATTTATCAAAATTTATAAAATGGACTAATTTTTTTCAAATTTATGTACAAATTGTCTTCAATCATCTATTTGCAATCTATGAAGGCTGTTGATTACCTTCCTTTACATCTCTTCTAAACTTCAAAAAAAATATTCTGATCATGACATGTATATCGATCTCGTGAGACTCTTTTCTATGGTAGCGACTAGGCGACCCTCAATTTGCATACTACTTACATGCAACTTTATGAGTAGCATCTACACCATTTTAATTACACATGTAAAATCAAATAACTTTGAATGTCTCATATTGACGGTTCACTGAAGTACAG